CGGCAGCCGTGCGGCGGCGCTGGCAGCAGGCTCACCACTCTCCAGGCTGGCTTGGTGGGCTGCACAGGCGCCGCCTGCACTCAAGGGGGACGGAAAGCAGGCGCGCCAGGCGACTGGTTTAGCGGCTGTCCCATCGGCCCTGTAGCTGACCGGCGGCACAGCAGCAAAGCCGACACGCACATTCAGCCCAACGCAAGCACAAGCAGCAACGGCAAGCCACACCGCACCTCTTTCGGCTTGCTGTCTGCCGCGTCGGCGGGCGGCGCCGCCGCCGCCTTGCCTTCGGCGGTCTCGCTGCTGGCGCCGCTCTCCTTGGATTCTGCTGGCCGCGCCTCGCCCTGCTGGGGCTTAACTGCGCCCTTGGCCGCGTCCTCCTGCCCAGCTGCTGCAGCTGGAGCCTTGGCCCGCTTCTCCTCGCCCTTGGCGCCCGTCTGCTTGGCGTCCTTCGCCTTGGTCGCGCTGCTGTCGACGCCCTGGTCCACAGCGGGCTCGGGGGCCGCCGGCTCGCTCTTGCCCTTGAGGATGGCCGCCCAGCCAGAGGTCAGCGGCTTGGGCGGCGGCACCTGCTCGACAACCTGCACGTGAACATCCAGGGGGTGGGCTGGGGGGCTGCTACAGGCGAGGGGAGCGCACATGCATGCCATGTGCGACAGCTACCTTCTTGGGCGCGGGGGGCTGGCTGTCGGCCGCCTGGGCGCCGCCCTCTGGCTGTGCAGCGTCTGGAAGCTTCTGGGACGCCTCCTCAGCAGCAGGAGGGGCCGCTGGGGTCGGGCCTCCCTCCATACTGTCGCTCCCCACGCTCCTTCGCTGCTGCTCGGCACGGCCGTCAGGCACAGGTGCCTATGGAATAATCTTGATGCGAATAGCGGACCTCGACGGCCTTCAGGAGTGTCGGCTTGGGAGGCGCAGCCTGGCTCTGCTGCCTCCTTGCTGCTGCACTACAAACAAGCCCAATTGAGACCAGGCAGCCGTATGCACAGCGCCCAACCAATGGGTGTGAGCCAGGACGCCCCCCAACCTGCATGCTGTGGATCGCCCTGCCTGCACTGGTAGAAGGTCGCGCTGTTGATCCAGGCTGGGCTCGCGCAATTCAAACGTGTTTTGGCTTCCAGGGCGCTGTCCCACTCCGCAGGACTGCCTGGAACACCACCGGCAGCACCCTTGCACCGGCGGCGTCGCCGGAGTGCGGTGGCATGTTGGGGATGGCTACTGCTCACAGGGCTCGTCGGGAGTTATTGCCTCCCAACGAGCCTGTCGATGAAGAAGGTGAGTTACAGAACGAATGAAATGGAATGCACCAGCCGGCGGGACACCTGCTAACCAACCCCAGTGCGCCGCCGCCTCAGCGCCCCCACTCTTGCCCACGCGCCGCCGCCTGGATGCCCTCCAGCAGTCCCCGGTACTCGCCATCCCGGCAGTCTGCCAGGCCCAGCTGGCTGGCATGCTGCAGGATGTCGTTGGCCCTGCAGGCAACGCGGCGCAGGTTTGAGATGAGACGTGGTGCTGGCAGCGGCGGCAGGCTGGCAGGGTGGGCGCTGTCGGCGGGCAGGGCTTGCGGCCAAGCAGGCAGGTTAGACCGCAGCTCACCGTTGCAGCGCCTCATCCGCCTTGGCCTGGAACAGCGGCACTGCCTGTGGGTGGAGGCACGCGTGGTGCAGCAGGAAGTAGGCCTTGCCCGTCTTCAAGCTCAGCGGCCCGCACTTCTTCTCCACCGCCCAAACCTTGCCCTCCACCTCCCGAATCTTCTCCACAATTGCTGTCGCACCGCCGCCACCGCCGGAACAAGCGGCAGCAAGCAGCGTCCCCTCCTCATGATTTTTACCATTGCTACCAGCCCCCAAGGCTGTCGCAGCTACGGCGGCGCCGCCACCAGCGTCCTGAGGTGGGCAGCCACCAGCAGGGGCCTGGTGTGCTGCCAAGCTGATATTGGTGCCGCCATTTGCCGCCGCCGCGTGCACCTCACCGCCGAGGGCTGTTGTGGTGACAGCTGCCTCCAAAGGCAATGTGGCCCTGTCTGCCAGCAGTGGCCAGCAGCCTCCATCCATTGCGATGGCACCCGGCTGGCAGCGGCCTCCTTCGCAAGCGGCTGACGCCTGCAGCGGCCCGCCTTGCTGCGGCGGCAGCAGTTTGAACACGATCTCCGGGATGCCGACTCCCCCACCCCCTCCTCTGCCCAAATCAGTTTCTGCTGCTGCTGCTCCCATCGTTGCCTCAGAGGACAGGCTGCCAGCAGGGATGCCCACTAGGGTGCGGCCCACTGGCATGTCTAGCTGCTGCTGCTGCTGGCACAGCTCCAGCGGCAGGATGGGCAGCAGCTCCAGCCCCAGCCCCAGCTGCATCATGGGCGGCACTACCGCGCTGCAGCCACCGACTGGCACCATGGCTGGCACCGCTGAGCTCGGCACGACTGGCACCGAAGCCGCCGCAGCCACGGCGGCAGCCGCTGCTGCAGCAGCTCCAGCAGCCGCAGCAGCTGCACCCCCCTTGAGAGCGGATGCTGCCTGCTGCTGCTGGCTGCTGCAGCAACCGCCAGAGAAATGTTGCGTGCTTGTGCTCCGTGCCTGTGGTGCCTGGGCGCCCGGCTGACAAAGCAGGCCAGCCAAGCTGGCCGGGGTGGTGCCCAGGCTTGAAAGGAAGGGCAGGGCCGTGGACAATGGGCTGCACAGGTCGGGCAGCGCGCTGCAGGGGCTGAGAATGCTGGCGACACAGCCGCTGCCACTGCCTGCATGCACACACATAGCCTTAGCGACAGCGGCGCGGGCCTGCATGCAGCTCTCATGTGGGCACAGTGCACCATGGCACAGTGCACCATGGCAGGGCCGCCCCGCCAACACCATGATACACGCACGAACACACACATGGTTCTAGACTCATGAGGCCTGGAGAGAACTCTCACCTGGCGCACGCGCAGGCGGAATGAGCGGGCTCTGCAGCACGGTATACAGCGGGGGCGACAGCAGGCTGCCAGCGCTGGCGCTGCCGCTGGTGCTGCGCCTGCAGATGTCGGGCGCCAGGTGCAGCTTGCCACCCTCGGCGCTAGGTGGCCGCAGGTTGGGGAGGCACAGGGGCTCTAAGCCACCTGAAGGCACCTGCCACTGTTGCTGGCTGCCTGGGAGAGCAGGCGGCTGGTGCGCTGCTTCATGCCTGCATCAGACGTGAAGCATTGGTGTGATTGCAGCATTGGTGTGCCACATCCACCAGAAGTACTAATACCTACATTTTGCATGTGTTCAGTATACTTGACCAGCGCTAGCAGCTGGATGCAGGGCTGGCTGATGCTAGGGCACACCTGGCAGGAAAGGCCGCCTCTGCTGCCGCCGCTGCCTCCCGCAGCCGCCCCACTTTGCCCTTGCGCAGCGAGTACAGCTTGGGCTCCTGCACAGGCACACACATTGAACCCGGGCCCTGGCAGAGACGCGCTGAGACCATAGCACTGGTGTCAGCCACAAACAGCAGCCTGGCACGCCCTGCAGTACCAGCTGATACAAGCCAACGGATCGGCAGCAGGGCTGCCTTCCCAACCCACCAGGCGCTCATCATCAGATGGTCCCAGCTGCTCTGAATCTGAGAGCCCCTCGTCGCTGCCGCTCCACTCTGCATCCTCGCTGTCGCTGCCGCGGCTGCGCCGTGCCTTCTTGGGCCGTCCAGGGCCCTGAAAGCCAACCAGGATAAGAGCATTGTTGCCAATTCCTTCCCACACAGAAAAGACGCCAGTTCCAGCAGCACTGAATGCATGGCATGCGGCATTCTCAACCCTCCTGTCATGAACAGAGCCCACAAGGCCTGCTATACGCTCATGCTGGCTATCTGACAAGCCAAGCACGCACACACCCTGCCAGTGCCGCCGGTGCTGGAAAACGGCGCAGCGTGGTGGAAGCCGCTGGCGGTGCTGGTACCGCGCTTGGTGAGCGAGACTGTGGTGGGCTGGGCGGCCGGCATCGCTGCCGCTGGCGCCTGGCGGACGCTGCTGTCCTGCCAGCAGGGCAGCAGGCCTTGGTCAACCCACTCCCGCAGCCCAAACATACCCTCCTGTGGCCTGCAGCCAGGCAGGCAGGGGGCTCAGCAAAGGCCACAGCGAGGTCGCCTTCCCCTGCTGCATCCCCACTGCTCCCTCCACAGGAGGCGTGCAGACCAACGCCCTGAGCAGGCAGGCACGCTGCCCGATGTGCGCCCCACCAGTCGCACCCAGCACTTGCCTGATGAAGAGCGAGTGCCGGTCCTTGCGCTTGATGTCTCCATACATGGCTGAGGCCATGGTGGCCTCGGGGGTCTTGCCGGAGCAGGCCAGCAGCCCCCAGTCGAGGGCCAGCCTGCAGGGCAGTCTGGCGCGCAGGCACAGCACGCTCAGCTCTGCAAACAACATGCCTGTGGCCCTAACCTGCCTGTGGCCCGATTGCGCAGTGGCACCAGGCAGCATGCGGCAGCTGCGCGCCTGCAGATCTCGCCGGTGGTCATGAGGCGGTGCGTGCGGCGCAGCACCTCCACCGCGGCCGACTTGAAGATGCCGCCGGCCGCGGGCGCCAGGGGCGGGCGCCCGTAGTACGATGATCCTGACATCGCTACCTCCTGCAGCACCAGGCAGACCCTCTCAGCCAGGGCAGCGGCATCAGAGTGTCGACGCTGTTCGGCGGCGGCGGCGCCACAACCTCTGCCCAACCGCAACCCCCTTCTTGACCTGCAGTTAGCCGGTCAGCGGCGCCTGCACTACTCTGCCATGTTTGATCGCTCCCGGCACGCACAATTGAGCCCTCCTGCGGCTTTTCGGCCCTCCCCGCGCCCTCACCTCGTCTCCCACGCCCGGCCTCCCCGCCCAGCTGGCGCGCCTTGGACCCCCCTTGCTGCGCAGCGGGCTCATTATAGAGGGTTAGGAGAAGGGCTGGGGCGGTGCAGCGCGCCAAGGAGGGAAATAGGCGCTTGACCGCAAGGCAGCGCGCGCTGCAAACCGCACCTCATAGAGCCGGCTGGGGGTCTCTTCGATGCGGGATCACGACACTGGATGCAGTTCAATCGGCCAGGCAGTGGACGCACGCGCCAGGGTTGTGGCGCTCTGGCCCTGCAAGTGGAAGCTGTCCCCTTTCCGCCTGTGCCCAATTCCAAACCGACAGCAAATGCATGAGACAAACGGAACTGGGCGATCAGGGGGCTCAATTTGCTTCCCATGGCGCCAGGCGTTACTCGCAGCTCGCGAGGGCTTAGACCCGGGCAGCCCGGCGAGGAGTTCCTGGCGTTCAGGGACGGCTCTGTCCTTTCGCCTCATCCAAGAGAGGCTTGCCTGGTTGCGTGCGGTAGTCGGCCGCAACAGCAGGTGAGCAATTTGGGGCATGCGCCCCATGATCGCCGCTGGCGGCCAGCAGGGGTTTGGGGGCGTCCTGGGTGCTCGTGGCCTGCATCCAGGCGGCCAGGGGGCGGCTGGAGCCTTGTCAGCCCCATGGCACTCAGCGATGGCGAGGGGGACGTGCTGTGGCGGGCTTTGGGGGCGCATGTGGACGTCTCGGCCCCCAGCACCCTTCGAGGCATTCATGGAGACCCGGCAGAAGGGGCAGCCTGGCCTGCAGCACGGATGGGCCTCTCCTTCCTGCAAGCAGGCAGCCACCCTGACCGCCCTTTCGCCCCGCTGCTGCTGCAGGCAAGATGGCGCGCGGCCCCAAGAAGCACCTGAAGCGCTTGGTGAGTGGCAGGCTGCTGCATGCAGCAGCGGCGGATGGGATGGCGGCGGCGGCGACCGCACACGCACAAGCGAAGCGAGTTGCCTTCTGAACACGTCTTGCTGCCTGGTGCTGCCTGCAGAATGCGCCCAAGCATTGGATGCTGGATAAGCTGGGCGGCATCTTTGTGAGTGCTTCAGCCGAGCTCGCAGCCGGGCACGAGGGCAGCTCAAAAGGCAGCGGCTGCGGCAGGCATTCTTTGGCAGCGCACTTGCAGCATCGAGGCGTTGCTCAGCTGGAGAAGGAGCGGCGGCAGCCTTGGAAGTGGCTGGAACTAGCTGGAGCGGCATGGGGGCGGTAATGCCCATCTGGGCAACACAGCTGCCCGGTCGCTGACGTGCTGCCCCGCCTGGCCTGCGTCCCCTGTGCTGTCGCCCGCGTGCAGGCCCCCAAGCCCTCCCCCGGCCCCCACAAGACCCGGGAGTGCCTGCCGCTCATCCTGCTGCTGCGCAACCGCCTGAAGTATGCGCTGACTGGCAAGGAGGTGACCAGCATCCTGATGCAGCGGCTGGTGGAGGTGGACGGCAAGGTGCGCACCGACAAGACCTACCCCGTGGGCTTCATGGACGTTATCGACATCCCCAAGACCGGTGAGGGGCGGGCCGCAGGGCAGGGGGGCGCAGGCAGGGAGGGAGGAGGGGAGGGAAGGGGCGGTGTGACGGCATGGCAGCGGGTGCAGGGCGCTGCTGCCGCGTATGTCGCGCACCCCCGCATGCGCATGTCTGTTGCTGCGCTGCCGCCGCGTGCTGCGCTGCCTGCTCTGCCGTGCTGTTGCTGCCGCGGCTGCTCAGTTTTGGGAGCTTTGGGGCAACGGCGAGCCAGGACGGAATCAGCACGTGGCCAGCATGCCAGCCGCGCCGCGCGAGAGAGGCTGGGGCGGCAGCCATCCACTTGGGGCATCACTTGATGCAGCCTCGTGGCAGTGAGGAAGCCCAGCTGCAGCCTGGTTGTACTGCAACAGCAAGCTGGATCAGCAGGGCAGCAGGCAGCCACTCGCAGCAGCAGCAGCAGCAGGTGGCACTGGAACTCTCGAGGCGCTGGCCTGGCAGCACAGGGATGAGCGCTCCGCTGGAGCAGCAGCACAGCAGCACCATGGCGGTGACGGCTTGGCAGGCAGCAGGGCGCCTGCCTTCCTGCGCCAGCTCCACTCCGCGCGCTCCGCTGCTCTCCTGCTGCCCCTGCCCCTGCGCCCTACCGGCCTGCAGCTGACGCGCGCACGCCCGCCCTTGCCCCCGCCCCCGCGCCGCCCGCCGCAGACGAGCACTTCCGCCTTGTGTACGACGCCAAGGGCCGCTTTGTGGTGCACCGCATCACCAAGGAGGAGGCCAGCTACAAGCTGTGCAAGGTCAAGCGGCTGGCATTCGGCAAGGGCGGCATCCCGCACATCGGCACGCACGACGGCCGCACCGTGCGCTACCCCGACCCCGAGATCAAGGTGCGGCCCGGCGGGGGCGGGCGGGGGCTGGCTGGCACTGGCTGGCACTGGCTGGGGCTTGCTGGCAGCCGCGGGGGCGCGGGGCCGGGCCCCTGTGCACGCGCCGCGCCCGGCCCGGCGCAGCTCGCCCTTGCCCCCGGCCCTCCCTCTGCCGCGCACGGCGCCGCAAAGCGTGCCCACCCCCTTGCGCCATGCGCCCCCGCGCCTGCAGGTGAACGACACTGTGATGCTGGACCTGGAGAGCGGCAAGGTGAAGGACTTCATCAAGTTTGATGTGGGCAACCTGGCCATGGCCACGGGCGGCCACAACAACGGCCGCGTGGGCACCATTGTGCACAAGGAGAAGCACAAGGGCTCCTTCGACATTGTGCACATCAAGGACGCGGGTGGGTGGCCTCGCCGGCGGGAGCAGCACGGGCCAGCAGCACGCGGCAGGCGCTGTCGGCGGCAGCTGGTGTGTCCCTTGGCCTTGCTCCACCCCGCCCCGGCGCTGACTGGGACCTGGTGTCGCCGCCGCTGCCTCCCCTGCTGCCCGCCTGCCTGCAGCGGGCCACACCTTTGCCACCCGCATGACCAATGTGTTTGTGATTGGCAAGGGCGACAAGCCCATGATCTCGCTGCCCAAGGGCAAGGGCATCCGGCAGAGCATCCTGCAGGAGCAGGCCAAGCTGTACGGCAAGACGCAGGCGTGAGCCTGCGGCACGCCCCAGCGGCCCTCCTCCCGAGCCCTCGCCCCCACGGGGCGCGGGCCGGGAGCGGATGCGCCCGCCAGGCGGCAGCGCGCCACCTGGCGTGCCTCCGCAGCAGCAGAGATGGGTGGCGGCGGCCCCACCCGCACGCCAGCCCAGTCAGCAGCAGCTGCTAGCAGCATAGGCAGGTCCCCCTGGGACGGCCCGCTGCCAGCGCACACCCAGCAGCTGCCGAGGCGATATTGCAGCACCATTAGGCTTGTAAAAGCAAGATATTGTCGAGAGAGGTGCAGGGCTGCTGTTAAGCCAGGGAGCGGGGCAGCGCAGGGCACTGCAGTGCACCGCTCCGATGGCGGCGGTTGCCGAGCTGCTCCCAACCTCTTTCCAGCACCGTCCAAAACTGCCGGTTTGTTAAATCAGCAGGGGGCTGTTGGTTGGACAGACTGGGCCCGGCCGGCCACGGGCATCTCTAGACAATAAAGGGCAAGCAAAAGAACGCGGGAAACCAGGAACGCTGCAGAGGGGACACTGTTCCGCAAGATAGGTCGATGCTGAGTAAACAGGGTGCGGCGGGCGCCTGTTTGGTGGCGCCTGCATGGCATGCATGCGGGTCGGGGGGTAGGGACTGAATCAAATGTTAAACTGAGCAGAAAAGGGGCCAACGGGGGTAGGGTGCGCCGTGGCGCCTGAGGGAAAGGGTGGTGTGTGAGATGCGTGGAGAGGAGGGAAGAATGCCGTGCATGCATCTCGGGGCATGGGATGGTAGCACCTGGGCTTTGTGCAGGCTGAGGTGGAGCAGGTGCGTGAGCAACTTGCGGCCTCCCCAGCCAAGCTCGGCTGCGCGCAGGCTGCACCAGGATGGGCGCAGCGCGCTGCCAGCTAGGCGTTCATGGAGTTTATGGAGCGAGTGAGATGGGGCATCGGGTTGATGGCGCATGCAGATGCAGCAGGTGGGAAAAGGCCGCGGGGCATTCGTTGGTTGGGGCGTGTCTTGGTCATCCACGGGGGCGGCGGCGTGAAAGGAATTTCAGGGGCGGCGGTTGGGGACTCGTCAGGTGGGGTGTGGGGCGTCGAGCGTTGGCGCATGCGGCATGCGCCGTCCGGTGCAGGCCAGTCAGTGCAGGCGCAGGGTGTGGAAGCCGCTGATGGAGCTGTTGCAGGCGGGGCAGCTGGGGCTGGTGTTGCAGTGCTGCTTGATGCAGACCTCGCAGTAGAGGAAGTGCAGGCAGGGCAGCACCACGCAGTTGCGCTGGACCTGCGCAGGCGGCACAGGCAGGTGCAGCGGCCGGGGTCAGCAAACAGCAGGGTGAGGCGCGCGGGTGGGCTGCAAGCCTGGCAACACACGGCCCTTGGCACGCGGCACGGCACAGCGGGCGGGCTGCCTCGCCTTCAGCCCAGGGCCCCCTGCCTGTGCTGCCACACAGCTGCGCCTCGCAGGGTTGCGTCGCACTCACCGAGCGGCACATGCGGCACATGAGCGCCTGCTGGAACTCCCGGCACTTGTCCTCCAGGCCCCGCACCTGCTGCCGCAGGCCCTCGCGCTCCTGCAACGGCAGCGTGCAGGATGGGGGTGAGGGAGCCGCAGCGTGCAAAGGCAGGCCGCGGCACGGCTGGAGGGCAGGCGTGGCCGCAAGCGGCAGGCACGGCAGGGGCGAGGCAGCGCCGGCGGCCGCTCCGCGCCACCGCCACACCTGTATCGCGCTGAACAGCTGTCGCTTCTTGTCCTGCAGCTGCTGCGTGAGGTCGTTGTTGCGCTGCGCCTGGCAGTCGCGCTCCTGCAGCGCCGCCTTCACCTGCCGCTTCATGTTGCTGCAGGGGCGTGGGAGGTGGGCAGTGGCGGGTGGTGGTGAGTAGTGGCGGTGATTAGTTGCAGGGAGGGTGGAGAGGTGGGCGGAGAAGCGGCGTAGGCTGCAGGCTAGGCCCGGGCTCACCGACGCAGGACGCACGCGCAGCACGGCAGCGAGAAACCAGCCCCCACTTCAGCCCGCCCGCCCTGCCAGCACCCCTCACCCACCTGACTTCCAGCGGCTCGTTGCCGCTGCCCGCCGAGTCCTGCCGCTCCATGGACGTGGCGGCCGCCAGCGTGCCCGCCTCGTCTCCCACCGACCCCTGCTGCCAGTCGAGCAGCTGGCGCTGCTTCTGCAGCGCCGCCAGCGAGTCGGGGTCCAGCAGGTGGCTCTGGCTCTCAAACAGCTCCAGGCTGGCCTCATCCAGCATCCCGCCCAGCTGCACACGCGCGCACGCACACACACACAGAGCCGGGGGGCAGGCGGGGGTTGGTGGTGTCGCTTCCCCAAGCAGGGGCTGGTGCCACGCGAGGGGAGTGGGGGATGGGGCATGGCTGCCCTGCCGGGCCGGGTGGCGCAGCGGCCATTTGGAGTGCAGGCAGCGTCCCTCTGCTTGAACGTCTGCACACCCACATCCACACCCACACCCACACACCGCCTCACCTCCTGCATGTTGAACTGGGGTGCCACGCTGCCGCTGAGCAGGCCGCCGCGCACGGGCGCAGAGGCGCCCAGGTAGTGCCCGCCGCCTATGCCGCGTGCCCGCGAGCGGCGGTGGTCAGACCCGGAGGCTGAGGCCGCCAGGTTGCCCCACCGCGGGTCATCGGAGCCGGCCAGCACCGCCAGCTGCTCGGGCAGGGAGGCGGGCTGCCAGGGGCGGCGCTGGTGGGCGCCCGCGCAGCCAATCGGCATGGCCTGCGCAGCCTGCTGCTGCTGCTGCTGCTGCTGCTGGATGTCGTGGAAGCTCATGCTGCGGCGGCCCAGCGCGTGCTGCTGCTGCAGCCCAAAGGCGGTCAGCTGCTGCTGCTGCTGCATCTGGGTGAAGTGGACGGCCTGGGCGGCGGTGAGGCCGCTCATGGGCGCCGACGTGCTACGCTGCAGCACGTCCATTGATGCGGGGCTGCCCGCCTGCGCCTGCGCCTGCATCTGCTGCTGCTGCAGCAGCAGCTGCTGCTGCCGGCGGTCCAGCGGCGGGCGGCCAGAGCCCTCGGGCGATGGCGGCGAGCCGCTGTGCTGGCCGTTCAGCCCGCCGTTCATTGCCCCGCTCTCTGCCTGCTCCGGCCATGGCTGCCCGCTGATCACCTGCCAGCACTGGCGGCAAAGGTAGTCGCTGCCGTGCTGGCGAACACCGCCGCCAACCTGCAGCTGGGGGCGGGGGCGAGGCACTGAGCGACTTGCAGGACCGACCTGACGGCTGTGCAGGCGGCAGCCCCCCAGCCATGGCGCTTACCGGGGTGTAGCGCAGGTCGTGGCGAGCAAAGGTGCGGCTGCAGAGCGAGCACCCCTGTCCGTTCATTCCCTACGGACTTGCAGGGCAAACGGCGCACCCTGCACCGCAATACAGCAGCGTCTGCTCGTCGCTCCGTGCAACCCGCTCCGTGCGTAAGCCGCGCTGCCCACCCGGTTCATTGTCCTCACGCATGTGGCTTGCAGCTGGGTGCAGCAGCACCATCCCGCCACGGGCATGCGGTGCACAGCAAGCGGGGCGCCAGACATACCTACGCCCTGCGGCTCCTGCCAGAACTGGCTCCTCGTCGACAGAGGCGCACAGGGCTTGGACAGCGTCTAAACATGCATCACTGACCACATCTGCGAACAACAGGCAGGTTGGCAGCAGGACAGCACAGGAAATGGAGCACAGGCGCCGCTGAGCGGGCGTAGCAGGGCGGCACGCGTCGGGACATCCTATCTTGCCTCTCATTCGCTCGCTCGCAGCGGGTGATGAGGCGTCCTGTGCCTTCCTTTCCAATCACAGGCCACTTATGGCATGTGGTGAAAAAAAGGAGGTTGGCGGTGATGCCAGACGCACAGCTGCAGGAAAACAGCGCAGCTGAGCGGGTGCCCCGGAGTTGCTGGGTTTGCGCTAGTGGCTTGATCCAGTTGTGTCAGCATGCCACTTCTATCCCATTACAACAGCTGAAGGTTGAACAGCAGTGGGGGGCGCGCAGTGTGTGTGTGTGTGTGTGTGTGTGTGTGTGTGTGTGTGTCGGCCCCTGGGCCGACGGGTGCCAGCGACGCTAAACGTTGAATCGGGCAGGAGCCATGTATTGATGCGCACCGTGCCCATCGCATGCAACCGGCTCCAGCAGTAGGTGCACATGCGGCAAAGAGATGGAAGGGCTTTCCTCAAAAATGCGGCGCGGCGCCCTGCTGTCCGCCGCCAGGTCATCCGCCTGCAGGCCAAGACCCCGCCCCTCGCCTGCCGCCCTCAAATCATGGAAGTCAGATTGAGGGCTGACGCCACAGGCAGGGTTCCCGTTGTGGTGCCCAGCGGGAGGGAGATGGAGGCGGAGAAGGCCGCAAGCGGCGCATCTCCCCCGCTAGCAGTAAGAGTGAAGGCCCCGCAGCACCCTCGCCTCGCGGCTCTCAAGGCAAGGGTCTGTTGGGGCGAGGGGAGCACCGGGCCAGCCTTGGGGCCCACGCCTGGCATGGGTGGTTGCGAGATGAGATCGGTGGGATTTGCTCCCCCGGCGCGGGCCTAACAGCCGGCCAGGGCTGGGACAGCCTGCCAGTATTACCGCGGAGGTAAAGCAGGGGAGGACAGCCAGGGCAGCCTGTCCGCGCACCCCACTGCCGCCGCCTCACCGCCCTGTCCGCTCCGCGCACTGCCTGCCCGCAGGGAGAGCCAGAGCAGCTAGACATCAGCCCCCATAGCCCCCTGGTGTCCACCGCACTGGATGAGAATGGCTGGGTGTGCGGTGAGTCTCCCTGCCAGGCTTCGCGGGCAGCGGCTGAGCACACTCTCCACGCACAAGAGCAGCCGACGACGCTGCCGCCCGCCAATCCCCGCGGCCTCACCGCCGCCTCACCGCACTTCTGCCGCCGCTTGCCTTGTCCCGCGCGCCGCAGGCTGCAACAGCAACGGCCAGCTGGGCGTGGGCGACACGGCAGACGTGGCGGAGCCGCAGTCGCTCAAGGTGGCGCGCCGCTGGGCGGCGCTCAGCATGGGCAGCAGCCACGCGGCGGGCGTGACGGGGCAGGGGGAGGTGTACACCTGGGGCCTGAACGACAAGGGCCAGCTGGGCTCGGCCACCGGCCCCGGAGAGAACAAGGACGCGCCCAAGCGCATGGAGCTGCTGGTGGGCTGGAACGTCAAGTGAGTCTGGCCGAGCCCTGCTGGCGCGCTGGCTGGCCGGCTGGCCGGTGCTGCAAGGCGTGCAATGCCAGGGAAGCATGGCTGCCGCGGCCGCTGCGCCTGGCGGTGGCGGCTAGCTGATGCACAACCCGTCTTTCCCGCTCCTCCCTCCCCGCGCTCTCCCGCACCCGTCCCCTAGCCCCCCACCCCACCCCTCCCCCGCCCCCTCCCTGGCCCCCCACCGCAGGGCCATCTCCTGCGGCGCGGAGCACACCATCGCCATCACCCCCGAGGACGTCATCACCTGGGGCTCCAACGAGTACGGCCAGTGCGGGCACGGCGACAAGGCGGAGACGGACTGGGTGAAGCCTCGCAGCATCAAGATGCTGCACGAGCAGATGGTGACGCAGGTCATCTGCGGGCGGTACCACACCCTGTGCGTCACCGCCACCTCCCAGGTCTACGCCTGGGGGCGCAACAGCAGCGGCCAGCTGGGCCTGGGAGACACGGCGGACCGGCGGGGGCCCACGCTGGTGGAGGGCCTGTGGGCGCTGCCGGTGCAGCAGCTGGCGGCAGGTGGGCGACGCTGCCGGCCGGGGGCCGCCTGCTGTCGCCCTGCTGTGCTGCGGGTGCCTGCGCGCGCCTGCTCGGGCTGCATGCCCGTCACCTGGCGTGCAGCTCTGGCAGCCACCTTGCCCCGACGCCTGCCGCGCCGCGCCTCGCCCACCACACGTCTGCCCCCCCCTCCCCTGCATCCCCCCCACACACACACTGCCGCAGGCGAGGCGCACAGCGTGGCGCTCACCAGCAACGGCTTCCTGTTCACCTGGGGCGGCAACGAGCACGGCCAGCTGGGCCTGCCGCACGCCGCCGAGGTGGCCAGCCAGATTCAGGCCAGCCGCACCGCCAGCGAGCGCAAGCGCGTCAACCGCCGCGTCAACCAGCGCTTCCTGTCGGCCATGGCCGAGATGGGCATACCCCCCGAGCAGGCTGAGCTGGCGCTGCACGAGACGGGCAACGTGGGGGTGGAGGTGGCCACCGAGTGGCTGTTCAGCGTGCCGCAGGATGTGCTGGAGACGCACCTGGCGGGGGAGCCGGGCACGCCGCAGGAGGAGGTGGGGGCCGTGCACGACGACGGCCGCGTGCTGGCGCCCAAGCGCGTGGCGCTGCAGGTGGGGCGGGGGCTGGGGGCCGCTGGGGAGGGTCCGCCGCCACGGGCTGGGCGGGAGCAGCACCAGCAGCTGGGCCGTGGCACACGGCGAGTTGTGCAGCCCTTGCGCATGTGCAGCCCACCGCCACCCGGCCTCCTGGCATGCGCCCGACTCCCCCTCCTGCTCCTGCCCCTGCCCCTGCCCCTGCCCTGCTGCAGGGCGTGCGCTTTGTGGCTGCGGGCAGCTTCCACACCGTGGCGCTGACGGACGAGGAGGTGTACAGCTGGGGCGACAACAGCGGCGGCCAGCTGGGCAACCGCACCTTCCGCCCCGTCAGCTTGCCTTCAGAGGTGATTGACCTGGCGGGGCGCGGCGTGTGCCAGGTGGCCTGCGGCGCGCAGCACACGCTGTTTGTGTGCCGCGACGGCGAGGTGTACGGCTGCGGCAGCAGCGCGCACGGCCAGCTGCCGGCCGCCGAGGCCGACCCCGACACCAGCCGCCCCGCGCCCCAGGGCGGCGGCCTGCTGCTGGCCACGCCCGCGCCGCTGCGCCTGCGCTTCCTGGAGGCCGGCGGCGGCGGCAGCTCCGGCGGCCACGCCGCGCCGGCCCACGCCTCCTCCCCCGTCGTCTCCGCCGTGGTGGCGGGCGCGCACTGCTCCGCCTTCCTCACCCGCGCCGCCGACGAGCTTCCCGACCAGGCGGCGCCTCGGCTGTGGGAGCGGCTGCAGAGCGCGGTGGGCGCGGCGCACGCGGCCCCCAACAACCTAGAGAGCGACGCGCACGTGCGGCCCATCGCCGCCGCCGTGGAGCGCATCTTCTCCTCCTCCGCCGCCATCTCGGCCGCCTTTGGGCTCAAGGACATGGTGGGCCTGGATGTGGGGCTGCTGGAGTCCACCCAGCGCGCCATCCTGGAGCTGGAGCCGCCCGCGGCGCCCAAGAAGGACGACCCGCAGCCGCAGCAGGACAGCCTGTTCCAGGTGCGGTGGCGGGCAGCCCCGGAGGCGGCAGGCGGCTGCTGCATGGCGCTCCGCCACCAGTCCCTGCCCCACTCACCGCACACCCCGCCTGCACCGCACCTGCTCTCCCACCCACCCGGCCACTCTGCGCCGCTTCACTCCCCTGCTCCTCCACCCTCCCCTGCCCTCCCCTCCCCTCCCTTTCTTTCCGCCCGCGCAGGCCTTCCGCAAGGCCATGGATGTGCTGGTGATGGACCTGGAGCGCAACATCAAGCTGCTGGGCACGCCGGAGCGCGCGCAGGTGCTGCTGGCGGCCATGCAGAGCCAGCTGCTGGGCGACTCGCGGGTGGCCAACACCCTCATACCGCGCGCCTGCAACGCCGTGCTGGCCGCGCCCTCCTCCACACGCCACGTGAGCGGGGCCAGGGATCGACTCTGGGGGCCGGGGGGGTGTACGGTGCACGCGTGGTGTGTTTGATGAGCGCCGGCCCGTGATAGCCGGCGCCCGTGCCTGGCGTGCCTGGCTGCCTCCCCCCCATCCCCTCCCAGCCCCACACGCCCCCCACACGCCCTGCCCCCCGCAGCTGCTGGTCAAGTGGTGGGCGGAGTACCCTGGAGAGCTGCTGGAGGCGCGGGTGGTGAGGCCGCTGCAGAAGTACCTTACTGACGAGCTGTACGCCACCAAGAAGCTGACCATCAGGTGGGGGTCCAGCCCAGCCTGGCAGCGCCTGCCGCGCAGGCCAGGCGGAGTCCGGAGCGGGGCAGCGATCGCGGGCGTTGAGGAGGGTGTTTGGCAGAGGCGGGAGGGCGGCCGGCGCCCTGGGCCTATGCTGGGCCTATACCTGTCCTGCTCTGCTCACTACCCGCCCGCCTGCCTGCCCGCCCTGTCCCCTCTGCCGCAGCGTGATGAACGTGATCAAGGTGCTGGCCAAGGTGGAGGAGGCCAACCAGCTGGGCAGGCAGCTGCCGCCAGAGGCCTTCTACAATGAGCTGATCAGGTGCGAGGGGCGGGCGGGGAGGGGGCGACGCCCTGGGCCACCACCCCAGGCCGGCCGCCTTGCCTGCTCGAGTGCCCCTGTCCCTTGGCCCTTCACCTCGCCCCCCCATCACCCCAGCGCTCACCCCAGCCTCACCCCGCCACCCCACCCGTACCGCACCCCGCCCGTACTGCAGCGAGAAGCTGGATGTGCTGGACCACTATGTGGCCTGGCGCCAGACGCACGACATGCCGCAGCACGCCTCCGGCACCGACGGCCCCTTCTCCTTCTGCTCCTACCCCTTCCTCCTCAACCCACGCGCCAAGTCCAAGCTGCTGCACACCGAGGCGCGCATCCAGATGGATCAGACCGTGGCGCAGAGCCGGCTGGAGCAGCAGGCCAGCAACAACGGCGGCAGCGGGCCCGGCAGCGCGCGCGGCGGGCGGCGCGCGGAGGAGGAGGAGTGCGTGGTGCCCAACGAGAAGCAGCGCATCAGCGCCGCGCTGCGCTCCGGCGCCGAGGCCGGCGGCCCCGGCGGCGCGCCGCCGCGTGGCGGGCACCCGGGCGGCGGCGCCTGCGGGCGGCGGCGCGACCGCCAGGGCGGCCTGCGCTGGCTGTTCAACTCGCTGCGCGCGGGCGAGGGGCCCTCGCCCTCCGGCGGCAGCACCCTGCAGGACGACGAGCGGCGCATGATGGGGCGCCAGATCAACGGCACTAGCGAGGCCAGCCCCTCGCTCTGGAAGCAGGGCTCCCTCAACCTGCCCACCCCCGACGACAGCGGCTTCCCCGCCACCCACCCAGACATGTGCATCCTGCGCATACGGCGCAACCACCTGCTGGAGGTGGGCCGGGGAGAGGGGAGGGCTTGGGGGGGTGCCACTCCTTTCATGCTGTGGTGGTGGTGATGGGTAGCTGCAGGCAGCCGGGGCAAGCGCAGCCAGGCCAAGGGCAGCCAGTGGCAAGGGAGGTAAGGCGGGCCGGCCGTGTGCTGACCCGACCACGCACGCCTCTTGCTCCTCGCCTGGTGCCTGCAGGATGCGCTGGACGAGATTGCGCGCCAGAAGCCCAAGGACCTGTTCAAGCCGCTGAGGGTGCACTTCATCGGGGAGGACGGCATCGACGCGGGTGGGTGGCGGGGGGGCGCGTGGTGGGCTGCGCTGGCGCTGCCGGCGCTGCCTCCTCAGGCTGGTCGCCTGCTGCCGTCGACTTCGCTGTCGCCCCCGGCTGGTCGCCTGCCGACGCCGACCCTCCCTCCCGCGCCCCCCCTGCCCGCAGGCGGCGTGAAGAAGGAGTTCTTCCAGCTGCTGGTCACCGAGCTGCTGTGCCCCGACTACGGCATGCTCATCTACCAGCCCGAGTCGCGCACCTACTGGTTCAACCCAACCACGCTGGAGGCGGACGCAGAGTTCCTGCTGCTGGGACTGGTGGGTGCTCGGGCGTTGCGTGGGCAGGGCGTCGGCAGGCGCAGCAGCAAAAACAGCAATGAGCGGGCAGCGGAATGCACGCGGACGTGCGCGCTGTGCCCGCCGTGCCCCCGTGCCCCTGCCTCACCCCGCTGGGCCGCTGCCGTGCCCCCGCTGGCCCCCGCAGGTGCTGGGCCTGGCCATCTACAACGGTGTGCTGCTGGACTTCCCGCTGCCGCTGGCGCTGTACCGCAAGATACTGGGGCAGGAGGTGAAGCTGCGGGACCTGGAGGACATGCAGCCCACGCTGGGCAAGAGCCTGCGCCAGCTGCTGCAGTACGAGGGGCCCGGCAGCGTGGAGGACGTCTTCTGCCAGAGCCTGGTGGTGGAGGTGCCCGGGTTTGGCGACACGCGCGTGATGCCGCTGAGGGAGGGGGGCGCTGACATCCCAGTCACCGGTGAGCGCCTGCGGGGGGCTGGGCGGGGTGGGTGGGTGGTGGCCAGCGGGCGGCCTCTGGACCGCTTGCCGGTGGGTGGGGTGGGTGTGTGTGAGCACAGAGGCGCTGGCCATGGGCTGACCCCCGCTGGGCCCCCCGCTGCCATCACAACACACACACACGCACACACACACACACGCCATCCCACCACCACCCCCCGCAGAGGAGAACCGGCGCGAGTTTGTGGAGCTGTACGTCAGCTTCTGGCTCAACCGCTCCATCCACTCCCAGTTCGAGTCCTTTGCCAAGGGCTTCCTCATGCTGTGCGGCGGCCCCGCGCTGCAGCTGTTCAGCGCCACGGAGCTGGAGCGCCTCGTGTGCGGCAACCCATTCCTGGACTTTGAGAGCCTGCAGAAGAGCGCGCGGTACGAGGGAGGCTACTCGCCAGGTGAGCAGGAGGGGCGTGGGGGGCAGGGCCGCCCGCAGCTTGCGCTGAACGCCAGACCCATGGAACCTTGGATCCGCTCCGCCAGGCTGTCGTGCCGACCCAGGCGGCCCACCTCCCTGCCTTCTTGCGCCTGCAGAGCACCGCGTGGTTCAGTGGCTGTGGCAGGTGGTGGGGGAGCTGACGCGCGAGGAGCGCAAGCTCTTCCTCAAGTTCTTCACGGGCTCCGACCGCGCGCCCATCGGCGGGCTGGGCAACCTGCGCTGCCTCATCCAGGTGGGTGGGGGAGGGGAGGGTGCAAGGAGGAGGCCTACGAGTGCTGCCGCTGCGGGGCATGTGCGGCTGAGCATTGCCCGTACCGCGCGCACTGAACCCCACACCTCCCTGCCTCCCCGCCCGCAGCGCGACGGCCCGGACAGCAACCGCCTGCCCACCAGCCACACCTGCTTCAACAGCCTGCTGCTGCCCTCCTACCGCTCCAAGGAGAAGCTGGCAGACCGCCTGCGCCTGGCCATCCTCAACTCCGAGGGATTCGGGCTGGAGTAGGCCGGCTGGGGCACCGGCAGCGAAACACCGTTGATTGGCCGGCGGTACGCTCGCCCGCCCTGCCATGCCATGAGCACCTACGCCACACCCACGCGATAAGCAGCGCAATCCTGCAACTTGCTAATTTATTCAAACCGCGTATGAATTTTCGTACCCCCTCTTTTTCCAGAGTTTTGCTCGCTAGACATGCCCTGCGCATTGCAGCGCATTGCAGCGCTCCCCTACCCTGCCCTGCCCTGTACAAGTTCCATCCCCCCCTCGCGACCACCCTCAAAAGTGCCCTGCTTCGGGTTGCAGTGGCCAACCCTCCTGCTTAACCATTCAACATTTCTTCCTCCGCCTGCACCTGTTACTTGCTAATTGTAAGTCTCTCCTGACAGCTGGCTACAGTCTGTGTCTGTGTTCACAGTTGCCCAGGCAGCGTCAGTAAGCTCGTGGGTTGCCCACAGCACAGTAGGGGTTGGAGCCGCCTCAGCCCTCCACCAGCTCGCTGTCCACATCGAGATCGTCGCCATCCAGCTCATCTCCACCCGCACCCTCCGCTGCTGCATCCGCCGCCGCCGCCGCCTCGCCGCCTCCCGGCTGCACTGGGGGCTGCTGCTGCTGCTCGGGCTCGGGCTGCTGATCGGGCTGCTGCTGCTGCTGCTGCGCGGCCAAGGGCGCCGCCGCCTGCTCTATGACCATGCTGGGCAGCGGGCCGGACAGCGTGGCGGCCCGCGCCTCCTCGAACAGCTTCTGCTGCAGCTCTATCAGCTGCTCCTGCGTCAGCCCGCTGTCCCCCTTCTTGTGCCCCGCCTTGTGCTCCCGGTGCTCCTTGTTGTCCAGCTTCCAATCCTCCCAGGCTGCACCACAGGCCAGGGTGCCGGAGGGACCAGGCACAGAGTCGAGAACAGGTGAAGGCAGCAGGGGAGCAGATGGTGCCAGCGGGCAGCCATACAGTGTGCCGGCTGGATGGGCAGCAACTGCGGCCCAACCGCCGCTCCATGCAGCGCGCAGCACACCTGCTTTCACGGCCTCCAAGTACTGCGGCCCAAACTCCAGCTCCTCCAGCGCCTTCACCACGTGCTCCGGGCTGATGGTGGAGCGCTTCTCGCGCTCGCTGATGTCGTTGGCCTGGGTGGACACGAGGTGCACAAACTGGTTGCAGCACTGGACCAGCAGCTCGCTGGCGTCCCCCGCAATGCGCATCTCCTTGGGCATCAGCTCCTTGATGCTCTTCTGCACCGTGGTGCGCGGCAGGCCCACGTCGTCCTGCATCTGCGCCTGCTGCCAGCACACCTGCGGGAAGGAAGTGGGCGGGGGGCCGGCGCGGTTCGGTGCTCAAGACGGCAGCAAGGCGGGCCAGTGCAACCGAGCAACATAGCGGCGCTGTCGTCACAACCGGTCTGGCAGCGCAGTTCGATGGTGGAGCTGGTTCCCTGCAGCGGGCACTCCAGCTCCGCAAGAGAGCGAGTGATGGCGGTCCCCACCTCTCAGCACTGCCAGCGCTTCTGTTTTGCATCCATGGAAAAGGAACTTCGTTAACTGAATCCACGCAGAACAGCCAAAGAATAACAGGGGGCGCCCAACGCCAAAGCCCAAGCCCGCGTCTCTCTCGCTCGCTAACAGATTCTGGAGATCAATTCCACTCGAGAGATACGTTCGCAGCAAAGAGAGGATCGAGTAAATGTTGGCCGCTGCCACCGCGCGCCAGCGAGGCGGGGCGGGGACCCTAGCGCTGCCGCCACCCACCCGCGTTCTACTGTTTGCCGACCTGCCGCGCAGCCCTGCTGGGCATCTTCACCGAGTCCCTGTGCTTGCTGCTGGCCACCGACTGCGAGGAGGCTGACGACACGGACCGGGCCAGCACGCTGCCACGCCGCGGGATCGCCGAGGAGCGGCGGCCCTGGCTGCCGCTGCCCTCCTCGAGCGCCGACGCCAGCGACGTATGGCTGGGGCTGGCCGTCGCGGCCTGCGGCAGCTGTATTCCCTGTTCCTCCCTGTCAGCTGCCGCCTGCTGAACCTGCTGCCAGGCAGTGCGCGCCTCCAGGATGGCGGCGAGCTCAGCTTGCATGGCCGCCACATCCTCGGGCGCGGCAAGGAGCAGCCGTGCGTGCACCCGATCCTCCAGCTCGCCGCATGCTGCCTCTGCGCCTGGCCCTGCCTGCTGCGCGGCCTCGATGGCCTCCCGTATCTTGCCCACGCCCGCCTCATCCTCTGGCTGCGCCTGCACCGCTGCCAACAGCGAGGCCCCCTGCCGACGCAGCAAAACAACAAACATGCATCTGTTTAAGCTAAGTAGAGAGGGGGTACTGTGCAGTGCCATGCTTGCAAGGTGGTGGTCTGTTGGCAGTTGGCTGTCAGCCCCCCCACACACACACTTGCCTGCTGGCGCAGCGCCCCGAGTTGCTCCGCATCCCCTTCTGCCAGCACCTGGGCTATGCCCCGCACCCAGGCCTGCGCCTCGTCGCGCACAGCGGCCGCCAGGGGCGCACACCTGCAGGGCAGCGCGTGACAGCAGCACTAGCCTGGGACCAGGACCAGTGGCCTGACGCTCCCTGGGCAGGCGCATGCTGTTCACACGACGACCAACCGGCACGCCAGCAGCGGGCGTGGGAGGGACCTCACCTCACTCGTATGAAGTGCGTGTCCTGGTCGCCGCCGGCCGCCCACGCCTCCTCCCCGACCCGATGGTACTGCGCCATGCGCTCCTCGGCGGCCGCCACATTTGGCTTCCGGGTCCTGCAGCAGTACAGAGGTCAGCCGCCACATTCCTTTGCTGGTTTGGTTAGAAAGGTCTCAAACTCGTCAGTACACGAGACTGGAAGCGCCAGCCAAGCTTTGCATCATGCTGCTGGAAGCTTGAGGATCGCAGCGCTGCTCACCTGAGCTTGGCCAGGGACGCATCGCGGTCGCCCCGCCACAGCACGCCAAACGCGTGCCACCTGGCCGCCACCCGCCCCACGCCCGTCGCGGCGCGCTGCACCTCGTGCTGCGCTCCCAGCATGGCGCGGATGACGGCGGGGCTCTGGCTGATGTCGGAGAAGAAAGAGAACACAAAGGGCTCGGCATCCTCGCCATAAACATACCTGCAGGGCAGCCAAGAGCAGTGGGAGCAGGCCAGGGCACGCAGGCAGGGCCGCTGTGGGTAGTTGCCGCATGCCACGCAAGCTGGGCGGCTGGCCGGCTCACTGCTCCGGCGCCTCGATGCACGTGCCGTCCATCCAGCGCACAAAGGGCTTGGCGCTCTCTGCCATGTTGTGCAGCAGGCGCTGCAGCGCCTTGGCCACCTCCACGGTGGACGGCACCACCACCACTTCGCTCTGGATGAGCGACAGCGCCACCTGCTTGTGGGGGGCAAGACGAGGCAATGAAGAGAACAGTCAAATGTGATGCTGGGACACGATGAGCACTGAGCACTTGAGCGGAGCATTGCATGGGCAAGAGCGGGGAGTGGGTCAACAAGGGGGCAGGTGCCACAGTAGCATCCACCCACCCTGAACAGCGGCTTGCTGGGCTGGCCGCTTTCGGCGTCTGCGGCCTCCTGCTGGCCTCCTCCGCGGCAGGCCTGCATGCGGGCGTGTAGGGCCTGCAGGCCTGACACCACCATAGAGTTGACGGCACTGAAGAGGCGGCGTTCCCAATAAGCATAGTACCTATGGCAGGGAGGGGGAGGGGGCGGGCGGGCGTGGAGGCATGCACAAGTATTGTGACAGCTGGCCCAAATGAATGAAGGCCTCAACGCACTACCCAGCAATCTCCACAGCATGGCATTTCCGCAGAACATGCCCGAAGGCTCACCCGGCCAGCCGCGGCGACTTGCCGCTGGCGGTGCCCGCCACCAGCTCCTCCACCTTGACCAGCAGCGGCCCCACCGAGCGGTAGCGCGCCGCCAGCCCCTCTACCACCTGCACGCAAGGCAGCAGCAATGCGACGAGTTCATGTCGTGGGGCAAAACGCCATGTATCTCGTTGATGAGAGCAAGCAGTGTGCTGTTGTCTGGCTGGCCTGCCCACCTGCTGCCGATGCTGCTCAAAGTCCTCCACAAACTCCTGAAGGTCGGGCACATCCAGCCCCACATCATCCACACCCTCTTGCCCACTCCCTGGCACAGCTTCTCCGCTGCCTGGCTCAGGCTGGCCTGCAGTTGCCCCCTGCTCAGCCGCATTTGCCGGGGCGCTCGCTGCCGCTACGCCACCAGGCTGGGAGCTAGCAGCAGGCGTGGCCCCACCGCTGCCATCTCCGCCGGCAGCGGTGCTGCTGGCACCAGCAAGGGGCGCATCGGGCGGCACCAGGCGGGCCCTAGTGATGTGGAAGATTGTCTTTTCTATCAGGGCCGTGTTCTTCTGCACCTGCGCCACCAGAGCTGTGAACTGGTCCACCACCTGCAGTGCAGACGGGGGCAGACAGTGCCACAGTGGGTACGAACTTAAGCAGCACCGTTTACGTGGAGCAGGTGCCGAGAAAGGCAACCCCAGCCCCGCACCTTGTTCACCGCCGCCACAAACTGCGGGATGGTGAGCGAGGTCCAGTTGATGCGGGTCAGCCCCGGCTCCAGCGCCGCCTTCAGCCCCATCAGCTGCTCCACCAGCAGCGCACGCTCTGCGCTGTGCAGCGAGGCAGTGGCGCCCCGGTGGCGATCCAGCATCGACCCCAGCGCCTGGAAGTGCTCCCTGCGGAGTGGGGAAATGGCAAGGAGCAGGCAGGTGGGTAGTCGTCGCAGAGGCGGCCACAGAGCCTGTTCACCCTTACGGGCCCAGGCAAGCACCACCCATCCACAGACCCATCAGCCCACCCACCTGATCTGCCCCTCCTGCAGCGCCAGGTTGACTGCCAGCTGCGGCACCGTATAGCCCATCTGATCCAAGTACTTGGCCTCCCGCATGAGGCGCAGCAGCGCGGGTGGGAAGTTGATGGCAACCGCCCCGCCGCTTCCATCACTCCCTGCTTGTCCGGAACCTGGGTGGCTGCTGCTGTCCACGCCAGGCGCCGCGGGCTGGTGGCACAGCAGCGGCTGCTGCAGGCCAGCCGTTACGGCTGCATCCACCGTGGCATCCCAAGCCGCAAACCGGGACTTCTCGTATCGCAGCATGTCCTTGGACAGCTCTGCGCCCAACAAGGATGAAACATCAGTTGCAGCGAGGGTGCTGCAAGATGTTGACTTGGGAAACAACAGGCTTGGGCATGATCGCCAACTGAACACACCTGCGACATTGGGTGTGTCAATGTATCAAACATCCAGCACACCTGTCATGGCATCCGAAGCCCTCCTGCCCGTCTCGAGCGCCTCCAGGTCGTTGTTCAGCGCCTGCAGGCGGATCCAAGTGCGCCGCAGCCGCACCAGCAGGCCGCGGCTCCACTTGATGGAGCCTGCTACAGGCGGCATGTTGCGAGTCAACGGAGGGCTCTCCCTGCCCTCCTCGAACAGGCGCCGCACTGCGTGGATCTGCAGCAAGGATCGTGCCACGACATGAGCAAGCGCCCTGACAAGGAAAGGCCACGCCCTTTCCCCTTCAGGCACTCAGCCGCCCACCTCTCTGATGAAGTGCTCCAGCACCGCTGCCAGCTTGTCCGCCATCTGCTGCTGCATCGCGCCCTGAGCCTGCGCAGCGCAGCCAAGCCAGCCACATTCATCTCACATGCGCATGCGTGTGCTGTGTCTGTTGCACACCTGTCTGCAGCTGTAGGCCCAGCGCCGTGCGCCCTCCACACGCCAGGCCCCAGCCCCAGGTGCCCACCTGGATGCGCTGGAAGCTGTGCAGCAGCTGCGCCGCGGCATCCACGCTGCGCAGCCTGCGGAAGCAGGTGTCGATGAGGTCGCGGGTGGCCAGCTTGATGTCGTCGGCGTCTCGTGCAAAGCGCTGGCGCACCGCGCGCCACTCGGCGGCGGCCGCCCGGTCCAGAGGGTTGAACCCCACCCGCTCCACAGGCTCCACCATGGCCTGCACGTATGTGGGGTGTTGGTGTGGTGATGGTGGTGGTGATGGTTGAGCGGATACGCGGGCCAGCAGCAGCTGGCATCACGCTTTACCCCACGTCGTTTGCTCTGCGTGTTGCTTCATCCTTCACACATGTGCCTGCCCACCTGCCACCACCCGCCTGCCACCTGGCAGCACAGCCCCCTCCTGCCCTCACCTGCACCATGACCGACACCTCGTCAATCACGCTGGTGTCCCCCGTCACCGCCTTGAGCTCCGGCCCCAGGAACTGGCGGAAGTCGTCCACGGCCTGCACCATGCCCGCCAGCTCGCCGCACACCTGCACCATGCGCTCGTCGCCGCAACAGCAACGGCCCATCACCGCCACAACGTGCATGGCGAAGCCCGCCAGTGCCATCACCACACATGCCATGCACCAGCAGGCTCGGTGCTGCAGCTAGCCTGCCCCACCTCTGCCGCGTGGTTGGTCCTCTCAAACAGCAGCTGCTTGCTGAACTCCCAGCGGGCGTGGTGCCCCGAGGCCTCTATCTTCTCCCGCATCGCCATGTAGTGCGCCTGCCACCCCTCGGCAATGGCCCGGCACGTGCGCACCAGCTCCAGCGACTGCGCCGCGGGGGCGCGGAACAGGCTGCCCATGTCCAACGCACCATCCAGCCGATCCTGCATGCAATGCGGGGCGGTATTAGGCAGATAATAATGTACCAGGCATCGGTGAGTGCCGTGACGGCATCGTCGAGCCCCAGGCGCGCTGCCCAATGCTCTCCCAGCGTGCCGGCGACATGTACATGGCATTTGGCGCCACCGCCCACCTGCAGGCCATGCGCGATGCGCTCCATCAAGTTGCTCATGTGCACATCGTCGCCGTAGTAGCGCGACACAACCCAGATCTGCAGACCAGGAAAAGCCAGAGGCGTCGGCCTGGCGTCAGCTGTGCCATACTGCAACAGCTAGCTGCTCATTCTGCAATGAATCGGAACAGGAAGGGCCAGTACAATCACGTCCAAGCACCCACACCCAGCCACACTCACCATGCGCAGGGCGTTGAGCATGGGGTGCAGTGCGTCGGCCACGCCGCGCAGGCCGCCGCCCGCCAGCGCCCTGAAGTGTCGCTCCAGGGTGAGCAGGAACCGGGCGTTGTCGCGAGCCTCCATGGCCAGCCGGGTCAGCTCCGACAGCTGGGCGCGGAAGGAGGCGGCCAGGTTGTGATCCAGGCTGCCCGCCTCAACCACGCCCTGCGCGGCGCGCACGGCGGGCACGCTGAGCTGCTCCAGCAGCCCGCCATACACCTCGGCCCGCGCCTGCCAGAACTCCAGCTCCGCCAGCGGGCCCCGGCCTGCAGGCCGCACTGCGCTCTCCCTCTGAAGCACGCCCGTTGCCGCCCTCACCCACTCCTCCATGCACCGCTCACATGCCAGCACAGCCTCCTCGCTGCGTGCCGCTGCCGCCACATCCCGCAGGTCCGCCGCCGGAAGCTGCACCGCCACCTCGCTGCGCACATGTTTGGCGCAGGACGCCACCTGTGCCGCAAACTTGTGGACAGCTACCAGCAGCTCAGCCTGCACATCTGTGGGGATACCGCTGCTGCTAATGACGCTGCCGCCACGGCTGTTGCTGTTGCCGTTCCCGCGGCTGTTACCCTGCCCCAATGCTGCTTCTGCCGCCGCTGCTGCGTCTGTGCCGTCATTGTCGTCACTGTTGCCGCCATCCTTGGCATCCGCATTCCCATACCCAGCGACCAATGGTGCCAGCACATGCGTCAGCAGTAGGTGCAGGTGCGACAGGGATGGCCCGGTTGGCAGCAGGGAGCATGACACCCCCGGTTCCTCCTGTGCTTGCTGAGGTTCGCTGCTGGCACCATCATTGCTTGCATTGCTGCAGCGGGCAAAATAAACGGCTGGGCAGCCCTGCAGCTCAGCTGGCATCGAGCCTGCCATGCACACATGGAGGCTGCTCTTGCCGTCAGTATTGCTGGTGCTCGGTGCTGGCTCGGCTGATGATGCCGTTGCTTCATCTCCCACGCGCTCAGGTTGTGGGCCGGCGGGGCCATCTCCAGCTGGTTGCAGCTCTGTAGTGGCAGCAGCTGAAGGCTCCGCCCCTGCATCTGCCACCGGCAGCGCCTCGGCAGGCGCCTCGGCGGGTGCCTCCCCGGCTGCAGCCTCGAGGGGGCTGCGTGTCGTTTTGCAAACCAGCACCCCTTGCACTCCTGCAGTAGAGGGGCAAGGAGCGTTGGGGCAACAAGGCAGGAGCGAGCAGGGCGTTGTAGCGGAAGTTGCTACGCTGCGCACCTCCGGCCTCAAAGCTCTGCAGCAGCTCCCAATTCTCCGCCTCCGACACCTCGGGGCAGCCCAGCAGCTGCGCAGCTCGCCGCAGCAGCGAGTCAGCGGCCATCTGGCTGGGCAGCCCACCCAGGCAGAGGCAGGTACCAGGGATGAAAGACGCCGGAATCGATGGAAAATTCAGCACAAACGGAAAGGGAGGGCAGAGGTCAACCATAGCCGAGCTGGCAATTCGGCATTGCTGAATTCATGATAAACCATCGTCTGTCCTAAGGATCACAGCTGGAGCAGATGGCAGAGGAGAGCGACGTGCTGCAGCAGGCCCAGGATGCTGCCAAGGCTCGCGACTATGAGCGGGCGCTGCAGCTGTTCGACCAGGTGTGCTCGGAGCTGCTGATGCTTCTACGGCTGCCCAGGCCCTGGACATGCCGCCGATCACCTCGAGACTTCTAGCGGACTGGCCCAGCAGCGCCCTTGCAGCTCTGTTGGGCTCGCCACTGTTCATGTGCAGCTGACTTTCAGGCAGCCGATCAGCAGCCACGAGGTTGGGCTCCCCCAACTCACCGCCGCCGCCGCCGCTGCTGCGGCGCTCGCCGCTGCAGGCGGTGGACGCCGAGGCGAGCGCCGAGGCGCTGGCGGGGCGAGCCTCTGTGCACAACAAGCTGAAGAATTTCATGGAGGCGGCGGCGGATGCCAGCCGCGCGTTGGAGATGGACGACACGCTGGCGGCGGCGCACAAGGAGAAGGGGTGCGCCTCGAGCGCCTGCGACTGCCATGCCTGTCCTGTGTGTTGCATTGCGCGGTTCTGGGTGCTGCTCGGCGCATTGCGCGGTTCTGGGTGCTGCTCGGCGGTGGGCCACACCAGGGCACCTGCGCCCGCGCCGCCGTCTCATGGCCTGCACCTGCGTCGCTGCTGCAGGAATGCCTGCTACAACCTCGAGGAGTTTGAGAGCGCCATGGACGCCTTTGAGGCGGCCGCCGCGCTGGAGCCCACCAAGAGCATCCACAAGACCTGGGTCAACATGTGCAAGGTGCAGCTGGGAGGTGAGCGAGAGCTGCCGAGCGCCGGCTCGTGCTACGAGTGGCCTGTGGCTGTGTGCTTACGAGCGCATGCTGTGGCCTCCCTCGCTTGGCTGCGTGCAGAGCAGCTGCCGCCGACGCCCATCAACATACATCCCGGGCCCGTGGGCGAGGCACCACCTGAGGAGCGCGCCTCCACCTCTGGCAGCGGCCAGCCCGGCGCCGGTGGCGGCGCCGGCACCATCACGCTGCAGGGCGACCAGCTGCAGGCCTTCCTGGCGCAGTCGCAGCAGGGCAAGCTGGCGGCGGCGCTGGGCGGCGGCGGCGGTGCGGGCGGCGCGCCGCGCGAGGCGCCAGAGGAGCCAGGCAGCGAGCGGCCCACGCACGTGACTGTGGACGATCCGGAGTTCAGCAAGTACTGGAAGGCGCCCATTGCAGGCAAGTCGCCTGGGGCCACGCAGCGCCAGCGCTGTCTGTGCTGCGCACGCAGCGGGGTGTGCATGGTCGGGCATGTGATGCATGGCTGGTTAAAACGGTTGCTGCCCTGCCCACCCATTGCATCCCTGCCCATACCCGCCTGCAGCCTCGGTGGCCGCCAGCCTGCCCGACAAGCCGCAGGGCGTCAAGTACCGCCACCAGTGGTTCCAGAGCCCGCAACGCGTGGAGGTGAGCTGGCGCGGCGCTGGATCCCTCTGGCTGGCTGCAAGCATCAAGCTGATCCAACGCGCTTGTCCTGCGATGGATTGCTGTCAATGATGAGCGTTGCCGCCTCCCGGGGTCGCTCCCCGCCTGCCCTGTCGCAGGTGGATGTGCTGGCCAAGGGGCTGAAGAAGGAGCAGGTGGGGGTGACGATCGAGCCGCGGCGCCTCAGGGTGGTCACCATCAGCGCTGAAGGTGGGCGGCACGCGGCGGGGCCGGTGCTGGGCCGCGGGGCAGTCCAGCGGAGCCGCTCTGCTGCTGCTGTGACAGTGCCAAACAGCCTTGGCGCAGCTGCGTCCCCTCCCCAATCTTCCCCTGCACCTGCACCTTTTCAGCCCCAGTCCCTGCGCCTCTTGTTGAACCATCCCTGCAGGCCAGGAGGAGTATGATCTGGACCTGGCGCTGCATGGGGAGGTGGTGCCGGAGGAGAGCCGGTTTGAGGTGCTGGGCAGCAAGGTGGAGATCAAGCTGAGGAAGGCGGCGGCGGAGCAGTGGCCGCAGCTGGAAGCGAAGCAGCAGGGGACCGCGCCCAGCGGCAGCGTAGACGCCGCACCCGAGGCGGCAGCGGCAGCGGCGCCCGAGGTGCCAGCAGCGGTGCCCGCGGCGGCGGCAGCGGCCCCCGCCGGTCCAGCGCCGCCTCCCCCGCAGCCCACGCCAGCCTACCCCTACGCTGGGCGAGTGGGCGGCCAGCAGCGGCACCCCAGCCTGCCTTGTCGTGGCGTCCCCCGCGTGTAGCGCACCTGCCAGCACTGCTCACCTGCCCCGCCTCATGCCGCCTGCCTGCCTGCAGCAAGAAGGTGGACTGGGACCGGTTTGCCAAGGAGCTGCAGCAGGAGGAGAAGGAGGAGAAGCTGGAGGGGGACGCGGTGCGCTGCGCTGGACAGCCGGTGCCGCGCCCTGCATCGCTTGCTCCTCGCTCCTTGCTCCTGGGCGCCCGTTGCATGTTTGCCTGTGCGCCGCACGTCACCTGGCCCAGCCGTCCTGCTGCCCTGCCCTGCAGGCGCTGATGAAGTTTTTCCGGGAGCTGTATGATGGCGGCGACGAGGACACGCGACGCGCCATGGTCAAGTCAATGCAGGAGTCGCGTGAGTGGCGGCGGCGGCGGCTTTGTGACATCAGTCTGGCTGCGACAGGCTCCATCAAGGCTGCGCAGGTGTTGTAGCCTCAACAGGGTGGTTTTCCTTGCGGCGATGCTGATGCTTGTTTGCCCTGGTCGCGCTGCCTTGCAGGCGGCACGGCGCTGAGCATGAACTGGGGCGAGGTGGGCAAGCAGGACTACTCCAAGAAGACCGGTGAGAGCGGGGACGCGGACTGAGGGCAGCGAGGGGCGCGAGCGCTGAGCTGCGGCACTTAGGGGTGTTTGGTGCCCAGCGCCGCTCCCGCCAGGTCTGGAACGCCAGCCCTGTCTCTGGGCTGCCGATGGCTGAGCAACGCCCACCATTTTCCCTGGCTGCCCATTCTGCTGAGACATCCTGCTTTGATTTTCGAGTGTCGACATTTCATGTAACACATCCTAGCACCAAGAGCACGCTCTTGCTGACGCAGCATTGCAGCTGGTCAGCTGGATGCATGCGCGTGTGCCACAACCGCCTATGCATCGGCCGATGGTGCTAGCAGCCCCTGCTCCAGCCTCTCGCCCAGCAGGGGCTCCCTCAGGGCGCTGCTGTCGCCGCCGCCATCCCCACCGGCATCTGAGCCGGGGGCGCCGGCTGGGGGGTGGTGCGCCTGTGAGCGAGCGACGGCCTTGGCTGCCTCGAGCCGATAGTTGAACCTCAGGGCAATGACCACCATCACGGTCCCCTGCGGGAGCAGGTGCAAGGCAGATGATGGCGGCAGGAGCCTTCACTGGCCGGCCCTGCTGCTGATGTTGCCGTACCAATGGCGGCCCGCCCGTGTGGCTCACCTGAAAGCAGTTGGTGATCACAATCCCCCACCACAGTCCATACAGTCCAAGCTGCTGCCTGCGGTAGGCGTCAGGTAAAATTGGCTTAAGCTGCCTGTTCTCCCGTACCCACGGTGCACCACGCGGCTTCCACCAACTCACTTGAAGGCCAAGTAGGCAGCCAGAGGGATCCCCAGGATCCAGTAGCTCATCAGGTTGGTGATTGCCCCTGTCTCCTGCCGCCCGCTCCCCCTGCATTCTCCACACATGCCAGCAAGCGGCTCAGTGTGAGCGCGAGCGACACTGCGGGGGCACACAGGCCGTTGTGCAGCGCAAACCAACCACCACACCCAGCCCACCTTAGCAGCCCTTGCAGCACAATGTTTGCCCCGTCGCCGGGAAGAGACAGCGCAAAGACCGGGAGCAGCGAAGCGGTGAGGTCGATGACGGGCTGGGCATCTGCGTGCAGGCAGGCAAACGGGAGGTGAGAGTTGCAGCACACAGGGAACATGGGGCGGTGGTGCCGCCGCGGCCCGCACCGGTGAAGAGGAAGGCCCAGTGGTGGCGCAGCAGCACGACTGCCGCCATGAAGGCCAGCTCCAGGCCCACGCCAATGGCGCCGCCCGTCCACGTGACCAGGCGCGCCGCCTTGGGGCGCCCCGCGCCCAGGCTGTTGGAGACGCGGGTGCTGGTGGCCATGGAGAAGCCGGAGACAAACATCCAGATCAGGCCTGTGGGGAGGTGGGGCGGAGGGGGGTGGGTTGGTGCGGGGAAAGGGGTGATGAATGGTGGGCAGGAGCAGGTTGTTGTGCATCTGTGCCCACCAGAGGACTGGATGCAGATGCCCATCACGGCCACTGTGAGGCCCGGGTCGGGGAGCAGCCCGCTCATGATTATTAAAGCCTCAAACGTCCACCACTCTACACAGACCATGACAACGCTGGGCAGGGCAAACCTGCAAAGGAAGCCAGCAAAGATGAGGCGGGGAGCAGCCAGCAGCTGGAGGCAGGCATGCCGCCCACGGCAGCCAGAACTCTCGGATGAGCACAACGTATGGGTGTGTAGGCTGATGCCCTTGCCTCATGTAGGTCACCCAGCCCTCCAGCGCCTCCATGCTCCAGCCGTGCCACGTGGCGTAAGCCTGCCCACGCTGGTGCCCATCCCGCACCATGATGTAGGCACCCAGCAGCGCCGCCATGGAGGCCTGCGCCACAGGTCCAGGGTTGCATCACGCCGATCGATGCTCAAGAGGCAGAAAAGCACATGCCGACAAGGGCAGGCCTTTCAAACGCTGCGCGCACCTGCGTGGCATCCACGGCGATGGCGGCGCCATCCAGGCCCAGCCCCAGCTTGAAGATGAAGAGCCAGCAGTAGAGGGGCACCAGCGCCAGGCCCACCAGCGTCACAGCCGACGCGGGGCGCACGATGCCCTGCGCCATGAGGTACCGCTTCCCCACTTCGTACATGCCTGTAGGGAGTGCGGGGGCAGCAAGCGGCAGGCTGCTTGAACAAACAATGGTTGCGCCAGCAGCATGCCCGCGCTTGAGCCCTGCAGCAGCCCCCCACCTGTGCACCACAGCGCCGGGATCGACATCTGGATGTAGCGAGCTGCGGCCCGGCTCAGCAGCGGGTCCTGCCTGCAGCGCAGTGTGGCGCCAGCAGCATCTGTTTGAAGCCCAATCACACAATGGCTGCTCAATTTATGGTTTATCCTCACCTGAACACCAGCAAGATGCTCTCCACTTGAGTCCACACCATGGCCACCACAACGGCCACAATGGTGGTCAGCAGGATGGCGCGCTGGAAGACGATGCCCACCATGCGGAAGTTGCCGGCGCCAACAGCCTGCCTGCACCACGGTGGGCGCATCACAAGCGGCCAGCATTACAAGCGGGCACGGGACTCTGAGCTACTGTGCAACTCGAGAGTGTGCAGAGAGGCGGGCATGCTGTGCCGAAGCAGGCCAGGGGCAGCGGCAGGCAGGGCGGGCGGCTCCTCACCCACAGAAGGTTTCCATGGCGGAGGCGAAGCCCATGAGCAGGGAGAGGCCCGTCACATTGAATATGCTCGTGCCAAGGATGATGGCACTCAGCTCAAACTGCCCGAGCCTCCCGGCGATGCTGCGGGGGGACGGACAGGGGGAAATGGGTGGCTGAAGGCGCTGCTTCTTCTTCTGCTGCTGCTGCTGCTTGTTCGCACAAGCCCAGCACAGGCGTCATGGATCCTCCTCTTACCCTAGGGCAATGGTGCCGATCAGGTAGCCAGTCAGGTTGGCAACAGAGAGCGGCAGCGCGAGGCGGCAGAGGCTACACGGCAGGGGCATGGTGGGTGGGGAGAAAGGCAGTGATCAAATATGCTGCATTGCTTGTCTGACATTACTGATGGCATGTGTCACTCGACGGGATGCAACGCAGGATAAGCCTGCTGGCTGCGACAGCTCCCAAGCGGCACTCACTTGCGAGCCTCGCCCACGACGGCGGAAGAGCCGCTGGTGGCAGCCTCCTCCGCCGCGCCGCCGCCGGCATGGGCGAGCAGGCTGCCCTTGGCAGTGAAAGACACCGAGCGCCCATAGGCCGCGGAAGAGATTGGGGACAGCAAGGACGAGGCGCCATCCAGTGCCTCGTGCCAGGGCTGGGGCGGCTGGGCGTCGGCGGAAGCAGCAAAGGGCGTCGGCAACGGCAGCGCAGCGCCCTGCTCCCCTTCTGCAGGCGTGCTGGCGGACATAGCGCCGCGGCGAGCGAGGTCCACGGGCCACGGCAAGGAGGCCTAAAGACCTGTGGACCCTCCAAACAGGCGAGGCCAAAACCCTGGCAAGGTCACGTAGCGGGGGCTGGGCAAGAGGGATGGATTCTAGGTCTGGCGTCGTGCATTGTCTTGCAGAGCAGCTCTATCAGCCAGGGCAAGGCGTAATGCCACCGTGGCCTGGCTCAAGTTGTCAGGGCGGCGCCCGCATCGAGCGCATGCATTGCCAGGGAGCGCCAGGTATTTCCCATAGTCGTTTCCAGTGCAGCAGGGCGAGCGATGGCGAGGCCCAGCGCAAAGAAGAAACAGGGGGCAGGGAGGAGGAAGGGGGAAGAGACGGTGGAGGTGCTGGATGCTCTGGCAGCGCGCCTGGCTGGTTTAGGCAGGCGGAAATGGAAGGTGAGCGCGGTTGCGATGCTGCATGCCGGTTTGCGAGCTCGCCAGGCAACAGCGTTTGGCTCAACCCCACCCATCAACCTTCTTCATCCGCATGCCTGCGTGCCGGATGGCGCCGCCGCCGTCTTGTCACCGCAGCCGGCCTGCCGCCGCCGCTCCCGCCTGCAGACCAAAGAGCTTGCGGCAGCGCTGGAAAAGGCAGCAGGGAGCGTGGAGGATGAGGCTGTGAGGGCGCACATCCGGGATAACCTGCAGCAGTGTGCGCAGCAGCTGCATGACAAGCTGCAGGCCCCCGCAGATGAGCCGCCAGCGCAGGCGGCCAAGCGGCCTAAGCGTGGAAAAAAGGCTGCGGCACCTGAAGCGGTAGCGGCAGTGGCAGCGGATCCCGAGGCCGCGGCGGTGCTGCCCCCGACGCTGGCTAGTGCCGAGGGCTACCGCCAGCTGGCGGCGGCCGCGGCGGAGGGGCGGCCAGATGCCCGGTTCACCACCGCTTCGCTGCTGCTGGCCCGCAAGCTGCCCGCAGAGCGGCTGGTGGCGGCACATGTGCGCCAGCTGGTGCCTGGCGCCGGGGAGCCCGCCGACGCCGACGCCTCCCCGCAGCAGCAGCAGCAGCGCGCCGAGGCGCTGGTCGTGGCCGCCGCCACGGCGCTGGGCGTCTGCGCCGCGCTGTCTGCCGAGGCGGCCGGCCCCGAGGACGCTCTCCGCATGTTTGCGCCAGCAGTCTCCCACCTGTGCGACGCCTCGCAGCTGCTGACAGAGCAGCCTGACGCGGCGGCGGCGGCGGCGCTGCCACTTAAGCTGGCCCAGCTGGCCGCTCGCACCCTGGCCAGCATGCACGCTGTGCTCCGGCAGCAGCGCCTGGCACTGGGCACCAGCCAGGGCGACGCCGCCCCCTGCTTCTGGCGCTCCAACCCGCAGCAGCAGCATGCGGATGGCGCAGCGGGAGGCGCCGAGGCCGCCTGCTCCGCCAGCGCCTCCATCTGTGCGCTGTGCACCACGCTGCGCCTGCACGGCCCCAGCGGCCAGGCGGCCCCGGGCCGGCTGCGCCAGCAGGTGGAGGCGCTGGCGGTGGCGGCGGCCGCCGACCTGCGCCTGCTGGCGCCCTACGCAGCCAGCGGCCAGCTGGCCTACCTAGCAAGCCTGGTGAGCCGCTGGAGTGCCCTAGCCTGGACAGCGCTGGCTGTTTCGCCAGCTCAGCCCCGGTCTGCCTGGAGGAAGCCATCCTTTCTCTGGCCTCCAAGGCGGAGGGGGCCTCTGTGCTGACCTGCGCCCGCCTGTGGCCCCCTGCTGCAGCCGCTGGACGAGGCGCGAGGCAGCGACGGCGCCGCCCGCCGGTTCCTGGCGCTCTACGGCGGCGCTGCCAGGCAGGGTGAGTGGCTGCGTGCGTGCAGCACAGCCGGCATGCCTCTGGCCGCCGGGATGGGGCGGACGTGGCAGCCGCCGGCGCAGCTGCTGCCTCTTGCTGGCCCGTCGTTTGTGGGTGGCACACACCGCTCCGGCGACATCCAGCCTGCTGCCTGAGGCCCGCACTCGCCTGTTTTGCAGAGATTGTGGGGGAGCAGGATTACCTGGCGCGCCTGGCGGCGGCCCGCAAGGCGTCGGCGGTGGCAGAGCACCTCGGGGAGGGCGCCCTGGCGGCCTGCATCCTGGAAGAGGGTGCGTGGTGCTTGCGGGGCGGGGGTTGGAAGGCGCGCACAGCACTCAGTGGTTTGTTCCTGAGGAAGCAGCCAGGCGGAGAAACGGTTCTGCACAGCTTGCCGGCACTCCCTGCAGCTGGCACACCCTGCAACTTGTGCCACCTGCACTGTGCAGCTGCCAGGCTGCCGGTGAGCCGCGACTTCCAGGGCTGGCTGCACGAGCAGCCGCCCAGCGGCATCGTGTCGGCTGCGCTGGCGGCCTCTCGCCGGGGGCTGGACGCTCTGAGGTGAGCCCTGGGGCTCCAGAGCCGGCGGCCCTGGGCCTGCTTGCCACACATGGGGCGTTCCCATTTTGGAAGCACCGGGCTGCCTCCTGGCAACCCCGCACCGCGACCAACCCTGCTTCTTCCTTGCCTTTTTGCCCTGGCCTCTGCCGCAGCGCGCACCTGGCGCACGAGTGCAGCCAGCGCGGCCTCCAGGCCCTGCTGGCGGCCATGCAGCGCAGCAGCCTCGCTGGCGGCGGCGGCGGCGAGGCGTCAGGTGCGGCAGCCGAGGGCGAGGCGGCGGCGGCGCAGGACGGAGCCTTGGACGACCTGCTGTTCTTTGCGGACAAGGAGGGAGATGCCACCGTGTTTGGCAGGTGTGTGGGGCATAGTGGGGGAGGCAGTTTCCTGGGCGTGGCTGTGGGCAGCGCAGCGCAGCAGTGCTGGTCCTTGCCGCCAACCCGCTTGGCCAGGGCACGCCACACATGCTGTTGAGAGTGGTTCGGCTGGTGATGGTGCAGGGACTGGCACGTGGGCTCTGGCAGCGAAGACGACGAAGAGGGCGATGAGGAGGGGGGCAGCGGCATGCGGGGCTTGCTGCTGGGCGACCTGCCGGGCGGGGACCGGCGCCTGTCGGACGAGCTGGGCAGCGATTGAGCGTGGCGCTCCTCTGTCAATCTGTCGACCCTCGAGGCGCAGCGGGTCAGCAGCGGCGCTGGCAATGGGTGCCGGCATGCCTGTCCTGCACAGCCGCTCCCTGTTTTCAGTTCCCTCGACAGTTGGAGTTACAGATTTGGTGACATGACATTCACACAAGTTGTGGCCCACATGCTGGCTACGGGAACGAAAGGGGGGCTGCTTAGAGCGCAGTTGGGTGAAAGAATTTGGAAAGAAGATGTGGGAGGGTAGGGCAGTGATGGTGGCGTAGCAAGCATGCGGCATGTGTTGGACTTTGGGCTTTGAGTTATTGGCAAGTACACGTACCCTTGGGTTGGAGAAGGGCTCTGGGAGAGAGGACTGGACGCTACTGGCGCTTATGGGTTAGGCAGGAATTCCCTGGAACAGATGGCTGGGGTTGTTGTTACCGCTCGGCGCTTTTTTAACGCTCGGCTTCTCTGGGGGAAGGCTCGGCCCCGCCGCAGTCAATACGACCAGGGGCGCAGGCGCCGGATCCAGACTAGCATGGTGTGGTGCCAGGCTCACACGCTCACAAGCACTTCCTGCCCTTGCACGGCTTTGGAGCTGGGGAGGGCGAGGGGCTGGGGGAGGATCCCTTGTTGGCAGTGGTCAGCGGCAGCATCAGGCCACTGCACGGGGCAGAGTGGGAAAGTGGCGGAGCTGTCATCAGCTGGCCGTGCGGAGGATGTTTGGAAGCAGCGCAGCAGCATGTGGCCGACGTGGCATGCCGCTGGAAGTGCGGCGCAACCCCGACCACCCCAGCGGGCCCAGCCACCACCTGCCCGCACCTGTACATGGCACACGCGCCCGCATTGTCGTTGGTCATCTGGACCTTCACGTAGCCGGCCTCCCCCCAGGTGCCCCACGAGTTGCGGATGATCCAGTAAGACTCGGGGGAGCCGACGCCGGCGGTGGCGTCGTAGCCGACCACAATCATGACGTGGTTGATGGTGTTGGCGTTGCACTGGGATGCCAGGTAGATGCCGCTGGAGTAGGAGTAGAAGCTGCAGAAGGGCAGGGGCGGGGTGCAGCGAGCTCGAGGGGGGCGGCGAGGAGTGGGGGGAGGCTGGGGTGCAGCGCAGGGGGCGGAGGTGCATGGCTGGCTGCAACGTGCACTGGGCTTGGCTGGCCAGCGGCTGCACCCTCCCCCCGGCCAGGCCAGCACCCCCACCTGTCCATGACGTTGAAGTACACGACCACGGGCCCAGTGCTGCTGACGGCCTGCATGATGGTGGTGGCGTTGGCGCCCACCCACTGGAAGCCGGGCTGCGGCGCGACGGTCAGGGCGCCGGCCAGGGTCGTGGTGCTGGCGCGGCACACGCCGTTGGCTGCCTTGTACGGGTAAGCGGCCTCGGTGGCGGCAAAAGTTTTACTAACGTAGTCGAACACGTGGTCTGCGGGGGGGAGGCGGCGGGGTGGTGACGCGTGTGCGCGCGAGTGGTGGGTTGGGTTGGCAGCCTTGGTGGCTCAATGCAGGGAGCTGGCTTGCTGTGCAAGCAAGAAACAATGCACGACGGTGCAGGGCAGGGCGGGCGCCGCTCACTTGACCAGCCGCCGCCGCAGCCGTAGCTGGTGGTGATGCAGTCCACCATCTGCTGCTCGCTGGCGTTGGGGGCGGCGGTGACGTTGTCGATCTGCGACTTGATCTCCAGGGCGCCGATGCCGGCAAAGGCCCTGCGGGGCAGGGCGAGGGGGGCAGTAGGACAGCAGGCCTGTCAGGCAGTGCTACGCCGACATCAGGCGCTATGGGTGTGCCCTTTGACGCTGGTGGGGCAGCTCTGGCAGGAGGGAGGCACTCACCAGCACGACCCGCAATTGCCCTGGTTGCGAATAGGAGGGACCTGCAGCGCGAGAGGCAACAGGGGGAGTTGGGTCGGGATGTGTCAACCATTCAGACTCACAAAGGGGGACGCGTGCATGCAGGGTGACTGAGGCCAGCAACAATGCGCGCACCTTGCCCTTCGCCCGCCAGTCCCAGGTCGCAGGGGGCGTGATCTGCATCAGCTTGCGGGTGGAGGAGGCCCCGCCGGGCACAAACTTGGGGGCACCGGTGGTGGCGGGAACGGCGGCGCGGGCTTGGTCGGGCATCAGGACCTGCCCCTTGAACTCATCAAACGTCAGGTCACTGAAGGGGTTGAGGCCGTGGAGGTGGCCGCCACCCTGCTTCTGGTTGCTCTTTATCATAGCGTCAAGGTTGGCAGACCAGGCGGCAAAGCTGCACACAGATGGGCAGCGGGGGGTGGCACTGCATGAGCGGGCTGCGCTGCAGGACGGAGTCCCCCGCCGAGGCCCAGCACCAGGCTGGTGAACGCACCGCACATAGTCGTCTGGGGTGCCATCTGCGTAGTCCTTGCCATTCTCAGCCTTCCAGGCCTGCCACAGCGCCTTGCGCTGGTTGGCGTTCTGCAAACGATGATGAAATGATGGGGAGGGGGCGGTGCGGTAAGGTGGCGGGCAGGGGGGCGGTGAGAGCCAGCTGCTGCCCAAACTTCCCCAATCACCCTTCGTCTTTCCTGCCCAATCCGGCTCTTGCGCCCCCAGAATGAGTGGACAGTGCCTTGCCCAGGGCTCTACACCCCCGAGGAGGTGCCTCGACCGGGCCAGCAGGCGCATGCCATTTTGGTCCCGTCTCTACCAGCCATGCCCTTGCAAGGCATGTGCCCCCACTTGAATCGCTCACCATGGACTGCAGCTCCTTGGCGGCTGCGACAGCCTCTGGCTTGCCCCCGTAATTGCGCGTTTTGGGGAGGCACCTGGCGCTGCCGACCAGCAGCAGCTGCACAGTAATGAGAAGGAGACGGTGCATGGTGCGGTTGCTCGGAGGGGAGCGGCAGGCCAGAGTCCCTCGGGGGAAGGGTGATGGCCAGACGCGACAACACCGAGGGGGAGCTGGATTGCGTTAGAGTGAAGGAGCTCTATCAGTGATACGAGGAAAGGTGCAGTGATACGAGACAAAGTGAGACACAGGTGCAGGCTGGGGTTATCGCGTTTCACAACCTCCGGCTGGCCGGGCAACCGGAGCTCCCTCTGCACCTGCATTTGCCCCTCCAAAACATGACGAAAACCAACAGACCTTTGAACATGGTCTCGCCCATTGCCGCTCCTCTCAAAACGAGGCTGGCACTCCGAGGGTTACATGGGGTGCATCCAGCGACCAGCGGCCGACCGGCAAATAGACCCGGGGCGGCCACCTCAAGATGCAACGCAGGGCAGAGAAGACGCGCCACCGGCCACCAAAGTCGCTGCGCAGCGGCAGCAGCGGTAGAGTGGCAGCGCTGCTGTCCCCTCCTATGCGGCGGGCGCTCCGCCAGCTGCAGCTGACGCTGGCTGCCGCTCTGCAGCGCGCCGCTCGACAGGCCGCGAGGCTCAGTCGAACAGGGAGAAGCCCATGTCCTCGTCCTCCTCCTCCTCGGGCTCGGCGGCAGCGGCGGCGGCGGCGGGCGCGGCCTCGCCGCCGGCCGCGGGCGCGGCGGCCACGGCAAAGGCAGAGGGGTCGGCCAGGAAGGCCTTGACCTGCAGGCAGAGGACGAGGGCAGCCCAAGGCTACAGTCAGAGCTCCGCACCGGGGCACCGGTTCCAGCCGGCATCACACAGAAGTTTGGGCAAGTTGGGTGGATGCCTGCTGCTGCTCCCTCCCATCCCCGCCCTCACCCGCGCCCCAGCGCAGCCCCGCACCTTCTCGGCCAGCGGGAAGCTGTAGTCGGTCTCCACTGCGATGGCCAGCACGTTCTTGTAGCCGTTGATGAGGGAGTGGGGCACCGAGGCGATGGTGGGGTAGCTGAGCTCCAGGCAGGCGGCGGCCACGTTGCGCAGCCCCGCGGTGATCAGGTTGCCCAGGTCGTCGTCGGTGATGTCCAGCACCTGCGTGTGGGTGGGGGGCAGCCAGGGGGCAGGTGGGCGTGATGAGGTGCAGGGCAGGGAAGGAGAGGCTACTGCGGCATGGGCGGGGCGGGGTGGGCATGCACTGGAGAGGGCACTAGCAGCAGCAGGCTGGCCCAGCCCAGCTTCTCCCATCCCGCCACCCCACCCAGCTCCATTACCCTCCACACACACACACGCACACACACACCACCCGGTCCCACCTTGGGGTCGTACAGCGAGCCGTTGTCGTAGACCTGGAGGATGACCAGGCCGTAGCTGAAGGGCTTGATGCCCAGCTTGGCCAGCAGGGTCGCCTCGGAGGCGCCCACCTTGTCGCCCGTCTTGATCAGGTGCACGTCGGCCGTGATCTCCACGCTGCCCTTGTTGATCTTGGTGGGGATGTTGAGCACCTGGCGGGAGGGTGGCAGGGGGAGGGCGAGGGGGTAGCAAGCGGGGTGTGGGGTGGGCGGGTGGGCGTCTTGGCGAGCGGTCGAAGAGCGGGAGCGCGGCAGCCAGGGGTGCATCAAGTGGTGGCTCGACAGGGTGACGCGGGCAGCAAAGGCGCAGGCTGCCGGCGCCACACCTGGAAGAACGAGGTCTGGGAGGGGTCCATGCCGGTGTTGCCGCCGGGGATGGTGACGTCGTTGGGGGCCACCAGGCCCACGCGCGCTGGTGCGCCCACCTTGAAGTCATCAATCAGCTTGCGCACCTGTGCGGCAGGCGGGCAGGCGGCGGCGGCGACGGTGTGGGCATGTCGGGGAGGCAGGCAGGCGCGCTGTTCGGCCGTTGTGGCAGAAGCGGCGGCAGCGGGCCCGGCACTCGGCGCTCGCTTCCCGCCGCTGCGCCACATCCGTGGCTGTCTGCTCCACCACCTTGTCCACCCCCTCCCCACTCGCTCCAGGGCTGCCTGCCGCACCTCGTTCAGGTCGCCCTTGGTGAAGATGAGGCCCACGTTGCCGACCATGTGGCCCAGCAGCTGCAGCCACTGGTCGTTGCCGGTGCGCTCGCAGTAGAGGCGGATGGAGCGGCGCATCATGGTGTTCTTGCCCATCAGGATGCGGGAGTGGTCGCGGATGGCCTGCGGGGCGCGAGGCAGGGGCAGAGGGCGGGGTGGAACAGTGCAGGCGCAGAGGGAAGGTCCGCCTTGCACCGCCGCCGCCTCGCCGCCGCCGCCGCCGCCCCGGTGCTGCCGTCCCCGCTGCTTATGCACGCCTCCCAGCGCTCCACCGCTGCCTGCTCACCGCGCGGATGTCCATGAACTGCTTGGAGCCCACGTTGTCCGCGTGCACAAGGAACGCCCTGTCATAGGTGTCCATCATCTCGCACAGCTTGGCGTCATACTGCAGCCCAGACGCATGTAGGAGGCTATCAGACCCTCTGGCGGGCCTCAGGCGCCGCCTGGCAGCATGCCATGCACGCCCACGCAGCTGGGAGCGCCCTGGGCGCCTGCACGCACGCAGCATCGAGGCCACAAGCGCCCCCCGGGCCCCGCCGCCACTCACCGCCTCCTTCTTCACCAGCTTGGTGGCGCTCGGCATGGTGGCTCTTCACAGCAGGACCAGACCCTTCAGTCAAAGGGCAGGCAGATTTAACCTGCTGCAAAAGGAGAGAGGCAGGCGAGGAGGGCCATCAAGTCGCCCCGTGCCTTCCACCCCACGACCCCGGCTTGACCAGCCCCAGTTCTCGCCTGTTGGCAGCCTTTGCGAATCGCGGCTACTCGCAAATGCGTGCATCGTGCGCAGATCCGCCTGGTGCCAGCCCCAAGGTCTCCCAGTCAAATGCACATGTCAGCCAACATGTGGGTTGTGGCAAAACGACCGTCATGGTGAGCTCGCAGGCAGGAGCAGAAACCGCTGTCGCTCGTGGTGCTAGCCTTCCCACGTGTCGCAATTAAGGATGGCGGGATTGGATCACAAGCAGCAAAGCACTCAAGAACTTGAGCATGCACGGCAGACAGCACCAAAATGTCCCCAAGCTCTTCAGCGCCATGCCCGCTCAAATCTTTTCTTTCAGCAGGTGCGTCGAGTCGGGCAGCTGCTTGACGATGTCCGGCATGACCTGGTCGCGCTTGCGCCTGCAGGCGTCGCACCAAAATGACATGGCAAGGCGGGGTTGGCAGGCGGGGTGGGAGTGAGCAGACGGCTGCGCACTACTGCCCTGGCTGGGAGCAGGCTGCAGCAGCCCCAGACGCCCTCGCAGCCGCCAACCACCGGCTTGGCATGGGCACCAACAAAGGCGTGTATGCACACAGGCCGCCGCCCACCTGATTGCGTCGAATATGCCCAGCATGAGGCCCCGCCGCTTCTTGTGCTGCCCATGGCCCGCGTGGCTGCCGTGCCCCCCCGGGCTCGTGGCCGCCCGCATTAGGCTGCTGGAGGTGCGCTGCAGGCTGCTGGAGGTGCGCTGCAGCGAGCCGCTGCTGCTGGGGGAGGGCAAGTTGTACTGCAGGCCGTGGGCAGGGTGCAGCAGCCGGCGTCAGCGGGCAAACAAGCACCAGGACTCTGACCAGCCACGCCAGCCTGCAGCACACAGCCTGCTCACCCCCGGCAGCACCGCGTTGTCTCCGCTCATGCCCAGAAAGAATGCAAAGGGGACGAGGCCGGTGGTGACCAGCATGAAGGCGGCAATGTATTCCACTGCAGGGCAGGCACCAGGCAGCCACGGTCAACAGGAGGCCAGCTCCTGCTCTCGTGTCCCAGCAGACAAACAGCCCACTGCGTCCATCCGCCGGCTCATCACTTCCAACCACAGCCCCTGCCCTCTCATACCCCTCCCACCCCCAGCGCACCAGTGTAAAACGAAGTGAGGAAGTGCCTGGTCCACAGCACGGAGCTGGCTACCAGCAGGCCCAGGCTGGCAAAGCCGCTGGCCGAGGTGAGCTCGATGTAGGGGAAGGGCTTGAGGAGGCGGAGGTAGGAGAGGTGCGTCACAATGCCCACAGCCAGGCACAGCAGCGGCAGGCGATCATACAGAAGCAGCGCATGCAGCAGCAACTCCGCCTGCGGGTCAGCAGGGGAGGGCAGGCAGCGCTTGGGGCAGGCAGCGCTTGGGGACAGGCCACAGGCGGCCTTCCATTCACCAGCAACTGCTCAGGTGGCTGTGCCCAACTGTGCCCAGCCTGGCGCCCTGTTCAGACCCACCTTGATGGCGTGGCCGATGATCCTCCGCGCCGTGATGATGTACTCCTCACACAGCTCAGCCAGGTAGTACAGCCCACATGCTGCATCAGCGAGGGCAGGGAGGGGAGGCGAGGGCGGCGGCCGGTGGGTGTGGGTGCATCAGGGTGCTGGAGTTGGGCGCCTCAAGCAGTCGGCAGCGACCCAGCCGCTGTATTGGATCAGCAGGCACGGGCGCGTGTTGGGCCAGCACCCCAGTCTGCAGCAAAGCCTTGCTTGCGGGGGTGGGACACTCGTTCAAGCAGGGTAATCGCACCTATGCTCAGAGAGAGGAACACAATGGCTAGGTAAAATCCAGCGTACACGCTGATCAGCGACACCGGATGGTCCCACATCTTTCCCCAGGGCTGCGTCTGGATAGGCTGGCTGCAAAATCCGGACATAGCGGCGCAGAGGGGGCGGCGGCCAGTCGGGCGCCAGCGGCGGGCGGTTTGCTTGACCCAGCGGCTTCGTGGGCGAGCAGGGCGCGCACGCAGAGGCTTTTGGCCCCCCCAACAGGGAGCAACGGCTGCCATTGAGCAAGCGAGCAAAGCAATTCGACGCTCGTGCTCCTTCCACACCGATCGCAGCGTGAAAACCAACTTTTGGATGCCTGTGTTCCCACCTGATGCTTGCTCCGCTTGTGCTGTAGAGGTGATCGCTCGAAGCAAGGACCAGAAACTCGCTCGCTGCTGCGTGGTCCCTTGCAGGCGCCAAAATTGAAGGTTGCTGGCAGATCGGTGTTCTCCACTCGAAAAATAGCGGTGAGCAGCTGCATGGCGAGCCTGCAGATGGCTTCAGCAATACACTGGCTGTATAGAAGGAGTTGGCGGCTTCCTGGGCTGAGAGCTCAGCGTTAGAGTCATCCTAGCGCCGTTGACAATCACATCCGGTTAGCCAGCTCCAGCAAGCAGCAAAGTGGGCGATTTATGTGGCCGTCTACAGCAGCAGCGCCTTCCAGCTGCCCAGCAGACTTCCCACAGGTGGGCAACGAGGCGCGGCATGCTGGTTGCGCAGGCGGCAAAGGCAGCTGCCCTTGCCTGGCAGCGGTCGGCAGGTGGCGGCAGCCCCGCCTCCTTGACTGGGCCTGCTGGGCCCCTCCTGCGTGCAGCTGTGGCACTCGTTTGTCAACACCTTAGTGGACGTGCTGCATGCGCAAGGCCCTGCCGCTCCTCGGCAGCCGCAGGCGCCGCAGCGACCGCCGCCGCATGTGCTGCCCGCTGTTCCGCGCCTGGTGGCCATTGGCGACCTGCACGGCGACCTGCGCAAGGCGCGGCGCGCCTTCCGCCTGGCAGGCCTCATAGACGAGCAGGACCGGTGGGCGGGAGGCACGACCACCGTGGTGCAGGCAAGCTGAGGATGTAGTGCAGGAGGCGGGCAGGCACACAGCCCCAGGGAGCCCCTCCCCACCCCTGCCCACCTCCACCCCCTGTTCCGTCGTTGCCAGGTGGGTGATCTGCTGGACCGCGGCGACCAGGAGCTGCCGCTGCTCTTCTTCCTGGAGCGGCTGCAAGGCCAGGCCGCTGCGGCGGGCGGCGCGCTGCACGTGCTCAACGGCAACCACGAGACGATGAATGTGGCGGGGCAGTTTCGATATGTCACGCACCGCGGCATGCACAGGTGGGAGGCTGGGAGTGGAGGGTCGGGGTGCGCCCCCGGCAGGCTGCCTGCCAATGCGCTGTGCACTGTGCCGGCCGCCCTGCTCTTAGGACTGTTTGCAATGCACAAAGCTCACCTGCCCTCCGCTGCCCCATGCCCGCGCCCATGCCCCGGCCCTCTGGCCCCGTTGCAGCTTTGCCGACTGGCTGCACGGCCACACCCTGGAGACAGCTCTCAAGGCCAAGTGCGGCTGCCAGGCAGCTGCCTCGGGCCTGCGCCAGCTGCTGCGCCAGCAGCAGGACCACCTGCACAACCGCGGCCCCGGCCACCACCAGTACCCGCCCAACCCCGCCGCCGCCGCGCGCATCCTGGCACTGCAGCCGGGGGGCGAGGTGACGCGGCGATTCCTGGCCCCCAACCCAGTGGTGCTGCAAGTGGGGTCCACCCTGTTTGTGCACGGAGGCGTGCTGCGCCAGCATGTCGACTACGGGCTGGAACGCATCAACCGAGAGACGCAGGTGGGTGGTGGGGGCGTGGATGGGCACACGGATGTGGGTCAGCAGTGGTGTGGGTGGGCGTGTGGCGCAGAGCGGCTGTCGCAGTGCGTGATTGGCCAGCCGGCCGTCCAGCCAGCCAGCCCGCAGGCGCGTGTGCCCCGCCCACCTCTTCACGCGCTGCCTGCCGCAGGAGTGGATGCTGAAGGGCAGCGCGGGCGAGAAGCCGCGGTTCCTGTCTGGGCGCGGCGCGGTGGTGTGGTCCCGCCACTACAGCGCCGCCGCCGCCGACCGCTGCGACTGCGGGCAGCTGGCCGAGGTGCTGGGGAGGGTGCCGGGGGCGCAGCGCATGGTGGTGGGGCACACCATCCAGGAGGGCGGCATCAACAGCGCCTGCCAAGGCAGGGTGCTGCGCATCGATGTGGGGCTGTCGCGCGGCTGCGGGAACGGCAGCCCAGAGGTGAGCCGGGGGTGGGGCACTGGTGTGTGCTGCCAAGCCAGCACCGGCTCTTTGGCATGGCAGCAGACAGACAGCCGCTGGGCTTGGCAGCAAGCGCGCAGTGATCTGGTGCTGGGCCCTAGCTGTAGGGCTGATGCATGAGCCAACTTGAAGTCTCCAGCCCCGCCCCGCCTGTTCCGCAGGTGCTTGAGATAGTGAATGACAGCGTGGTGAGGCGGCTGAGTGAGAGTCAGCAGGAGAATGTGGTTCCCGCTGAGCCGCCATACCAGCAGCAGCCCAAGCCCGTCCCTGAACAGAAGCCGCAGGGGCAGGTGGCGGCGGCCACGATAGCCAGCACACAAACGCCGGAGCTCGCCCGCCCTGCAGCAGCGCTTCAGAACAGGCAGCAGCCCGCCTAGCCCGCTGGGTTGCAGCACTGTACCCTTGCTCTTTTCATCCTCCTGTTTAGAGCACTGTGTCCATCTGTTGATGTCCTGTAAAATTGGCTTTCAAAAGAGCGTCACCACAGCTGCTGGCGAGGAATGTTGGTTTGGTTCTGTGGTATTGATGCAAAGCAGTTCAAAAGGAGCGAAACACAGAGTGGCAAAAGGAGATGGAGAGCAGAGCTGCACATAGAAACAGTTCAGAAACACAAATGATGAAGCGGGAGGGGGGGGGGGGGGGGAGGCATTAGCCCTGTCTAGTCTGG